ACATGACATTCATTGCCATACTATTGAAAGCAGAAGCAGATAGTTCACCTCAAAACAAAATAACCACCTCACCACAAAATAAACTGTTTTAAATTTAACTTTAGAACTGTGACTCTGTGACCCACGGCGCATGCAACGCGCGTAGCTGTGCATTTATACTTCTGCGCGCTGTCTCTGTTGGTCTGAATTAACACTTCCGAAACGCTAGTGGGCAGTGAGGTGTTAAAGTTCCTCTGTGTCGAGTTTCTTCTCTGCTGTTTTGCTTTTCCTGAACACTTCCTGGATGTACAAGTGGTACAAGTTTGAGGTAGGAACCGGCGGACGTGCAACAACTTTAACTATGAGGTAAACACAAAACAAAACTTTCCATCAGGAGCTCCTTCACGGGACTCCACACTTGTAAACATTCGCTCCATTGGGCTCGCGTCCAGCTCGCGCGGCTCTCTGTCCCGCCCAGACTCGTCAGCGCTACAAGCTGACCAATCACAGAGCTTGCGCTACACATCGTTGCGACGTGTAGTTACAATTGTTGAGAGGTGCTCGTCAGCAACGCCGATAAATCAGTATAAATCAGCTTTAACACATATCAGTGATTCAGCATGTATATATAATAATGTTAAAAAGGTTTAATATGTATTGATTAGATTATAAACCAGGGGTGCTCCGATCAATCGGCTGGAAATCGGTATCGGCAGATAATCACTTTTCAGGTAGAGACAGGTTCCGAAACAAAAGTCTAGGTGTGAAAGCACCCTTAATCTTCCTCTCATTTCAGAGTCTGCTAATGTCCACAGGAGGTCACATTTCGGTCACGGACACGTGCTTTTAGAGCCTTTCTGAATGAATGAATGAATGAATGAATGAATGAAATATGCTGTTTTCCAACAAGGCAACCCAGGCTGCTGAAATATAATTGGCTGAAGTGGCAGTGGGTGGGTTAAAAGAACCAAAACAAAGACAGACGTTCCAGCACATAACTCAGATTTTTAAAGCAGAATATCTGACTTCAGCATTGTTTTTCAGATAAACAAGAATGTTCACTTAGCATGTTTCTTAAATATCTGCAAACATATTATAGTATTTTTTGCTTCAGAGCTACAGCACCTTTAAACATTATAAACAGTTTGTGTAATGTCCACAAGCTGCCATACTCGCATTTATGAGAGACTGGCTTTTTGGTGGATGACAGAGCCCATGCACTGTTGAGACTAAAGGCTGATTTATACTTCTGCGTCAAACACCGGCGTATGCTACGGCGCTGACGCATAGCCCATCGCCGTGGCCGTCGCCGTCACTGACATGCACCTCTCAAAAATTGTAACTACACGTCGCAACAACGCGAAGCGCAAGCTCTGTGATTGGTCGGCTTGCTAGCGCCGACGAGTCTGGGCGGGACCGAGAGCCGCGCGAATGGCGCGAGCGATTGTTTACAAGTGTGGAGTCCCGTGAAGGAGCTCCGGATGGAAAGTTTTGTTCTGTGTTTACCTCATGGTTAAACTTGTTGCACGTCCGCCGGTTCCTGCCTCAAAATGAGCGAGTTTGAGTCACTTGTACATCCAGGAAGTGTTCAGAATAGCAAAACAGAAGCGAAGAAACTCGACACAGAGGAACATTTACACCTCACTGCCCACTTGCGTTTCGGAAGTGTTAATGCAGACCAACGGAGACAGCGCGCAGAAGTATAAATGCACAGCCATGCGCGTTGCCTGCGCCGTGAGTTGCGCCGGTCACTTGACGCAGAAGTATAAACCAGGCTTAACGTGGTTTATTCAGCCCCTGCAGACACGTGAGACACTTTATATTGTGGATGTGCTTTATTGGACAAACCCACTCTTTGCCATTGTAGATCTTGAAAGAGCAAATTTTATTTTTAAATGACTCATTTTGGTTTTAACTAAAATCCTAAAGTCCTACAACACGCAAAAAAAAAAAAAAAAAACATGCATGAACAAGACAATTTGTGGGGAAAATCATTCAAATATTAAAGTGATAGTTCACCCAAAAATGAAAACTGTCATCATTTACTTGCCCTTGACATTTTCCAAATCTGTATGAGTTCTTTTTTCAGTAAAACACAAAAGACAATATTCTGAAGAAAGCTGGAAACTAACCACAGACATTCATAGTATTTGTTCTTCCTACTATCAAAGTCAAGGGTTTTCAGCTTTCTTCAGAATATCTTTCGTGTTTAACAAAGAAGGGGGTTTAGAACCACTTGAGGGAAAATATTATACTTTCATTTTGTCTTCATCTTTTATATTATCCTTATAGCTTTAATCAACCCTTCAGATTTCAGGTGGCAACTCAAGGAAATATTTAAAGCTAAAGGCTCATTAAAAAAAAAGGTTGTGACTCTACACTATTGAATACCTGTACTGCTGAATGGGCAGATATTTACAATGGAGCATAAAGTGAGAAACCAGATCCCAAGGGCAGTAACACCTGGTTTAAGAACGACAACTTAAGTCAAAGAGAGAGAATGGGATGCCTGTAAAATGCTCCAACAAATGATTAACTGAGTTGTAAACGCTCAGAGGCAAAAAGGAGAAATGAAACCTGTCAAGAGGCGTTGCTTTGCTTTGTTTGTTGTTGCAACAACTTAGAAATCAAACAGTGAAGCTAAATGAGAACTTTTAAACTCTATAATACACCCATGAAGATTAATGAAAGCATGTCTTGAAATAGTGGCTGTGAAAACCACAGATATATATGTTGTAGACAATAGGATGTAAGACACAGTAACAGTAACATCTCTATAGATGATGAATGAGAGATGGAGTTCTTGTTTAAACCTCCTTTCCAGAATCAAGACAGTTAGGATTTACACTCAAATGATTGAGGGTTTGCTTATGGTAACAAACAAACAAATTAATAAAGTGGTTGCAAAAATGTATGGAAAAAAGGTTAAGTGTATGCCAAATGTTAAAAAAATGTAAAATTAACAAAAACTAGAAAGAATTTTTAAATTAATTATATACTTTAAATCTTATTTGTAGCTCTAGTCTAAGGTACGTTTAAGCATCTAGTGAATTGCGTTTCTAATGTATTTTGATTTGATGTCTTGTTTTCATGTAAAATATTAGTCTAATAATGTACATATTTTGTATGGATTGTATGTGTATAAGTACAGTTTGTATTTATGTCTTTAGCTTCGTATGATGTATAACGGTTTAATAAAAAAGAGCAGTTATGTTATTAGACGTGATTTACGACAGACTGCATGCAGTGTCTTGAACTGAAGTTACTCAGGCTGTTTTTGTTCTCCACATGAACTGAGCCAAAGGCACATGTTGGCCAGCTAACACAGCCATGAGGGGTATAAATAGTACCTTACGAAAATTACTCGATGTTAATAAAGCCTCCAACTTTGTTCAAAGCAAATTACCTGTAATAAAATTCCAACTAAATGCCGATAAAAGTGTGGAGACCTTTGAATTAGCTGCTCCTCCTGTTTGCTGCCCAGTGCTGCCGTTAGTTATGATAAGGCTAATAACTAGCAAATCAATCTCGCATGTAAATTAGGGATAAACACAGAGAAAGGCAACGTTATATAGGCAATGAACTCACCTGGGATGAAGCGGGTTCTCAACGGGCACAAATGAAAACTTTAACAGCGACCGCGGAACGAACTTTCGCGAGCTGGAAAGCGCAGTGTGTCGGTCTCCCATGAAGCTCGCGCAGCCGCGCGCTGGCCGCCACACCGCCGCGTGCAGCACAATGTAAACAACAGTATCCGTCCGCGGTGAGCGTCCCGGGAACTACTTTACAGATCATGGGACTAGATAGCCATTACACGCGACCGTTTACAGTGTGCGTTGAGCTATAAACCATAAATAAAAGGGACTTGTTAAAGTAATATCGAATGATGAAAGTCTTTTTAAAACGAAGTTTTTGGGAGAGTTTTTAGAGAAGATAATATGCGAATGGGTGACGTCACGTCCACCTGCTGAGGGCTGAAGTGATTCGTCGGAATAAGCGCTGTTACTACGGCAAGCCTTTTTAACATTCAATCTGTAAATTAAATCATATTAGTATATTTATGTCACTGGTAACTATTTAAATTTACTCTAGAAATTAGTATGTTTTCCATTTAGTATTTAAGTACTAGTAGCGCTTAGTGTTTGACAGTGCTTACTTTTCAGACCAGTCATACAATGACGTTAAATAATAACGATTTTAAATTAGTAAGGCAGGCTTTATTGCTTGTCAAACATTTAGAAAATGTAAAAGTTTCTTAATTATTAGTATCGAATAAAGAACTACTAGTATCTATTAAATTCTAGGTTCTGGTATCTAAAGCATTTAGTAACTTAGTTTCTTATAAAAACACTGTTGTTTCAACCCAAATTGAGATAAAATAAGGTCAAACAGATATAAACGCAACTGTTGAGTTAAATCGGACTCACAAATTTAATTTCATTTGTAATTAACAGATTGTATTTGTCCCTATTTTACCAAATTTGGTTTAAAATGTAGTCATAGTGGAGTCTAATCAATATTTATTTGAAGCTATCAACAACAGAATTATTAACAACAACATTATAAACGCGAGTAGTCTGAATAAACCACTTAAGACTCCAGAAATAAAAACTAAGAACTTATTTTAGAGAAAAAGACATGTGAATGTAGAATGCTAGAAATGAGGTTAAAATGGCGTGCGGCGCCATCTAGCGACAAACAAATACTTCACTGAATGCAACTTTAAAGGGATAGTTCACCCAAAAACGAAAATTTACTTACCATTACTATTTACTTTCCTCTGTTGAACACACAAAAGAAAAACAGTTTGAAGAAAGCTAATAAGACAAAAAATACTTTGGAGGTCAACGGTTATAGATTTTTATATTTAGTATTCAACAAAAGAAAGAAACTAAAGGGATGAAACCACTTAAGAGTGAGTAAATAGGTGAGTAAACTAAGTTTTGGGTAAGCTATCCCTTTAAACTTTATGAATCCATTTTAAACAGTAATTTTATTGAAAATAACCGCAACACTCATAATTTTGTATTCTGCTTCGTATTTATTCAATATTTCAAAACCTATAAGCAAAAGAAAAGAAAGAAAATTAATATTATAACTGATTAAATACATTAAACATTCTATGAGTGAAACCCTGGGAGAACACAAGGCACCGTTCCAGAAGATTGACAATCAGTGTGAGGTTTCAGATCCTGATTGGGAGCCTGGAAAAACTGACACGAATGCTTCACAAACAAAAGAAATCCACCTCAGTACTCGCATCTCAGTGACAGGTAGGAAAAAGGCTGAAATATGAAAAGTCAGCTGCATGTACAAGTTATTTTGCACAATTCCTGCCCACATCAAGGACGAACTCATAATTGTGCTTCTTAGTGCATTACGGACCTGGTTCATGATGCAGGTCATTTTGGGCTTAAGTTTCAAACTTGACAAACCACAACAAAATCCAATCAGCATCAAGATGTGAGCTGCAAGCGAGACAAACGCGAATTTAACCATGTGCAGATCTCAGACGATGATGAATTACAACACAGGAGAACAGAAAAGATATCTCTTTGGTACTGAACAACTAAAAATATAAATGCTCTGATGATTACACAGATCATTTTCAGTTTCTTATTTTGACGATATCTACACTAGCTCCCCTCGACGCACACATATTTCCATCCATTCAAGCACAGCAAAACAAACTACAATGATGAGCACTCTGAAACAAGACACAGTGTGATTACAGCGAATAAAAAGGCAGTTAGGAGCAAATGCATAAGTTACAAAAAATAATAATAATAATTCTGGCGATGGTGAAAATATTAAGCTACTCTGACAAAGACAAGACACGCATGGGGTTACAGTTAATAACACCTTGAACAGAATGCTGGATATTATTCACAACGCAGTAACCAAAACACAAAAGACGTTTAACAGTGCTGTGACGCCATTCTAAAACAGCTTTCATTTACGTAAAATACTACAAGAGGAGGTCTGGATTAGTGCTGGGCAATGATTGTTGATTAAAGGGGATGCAAAATAAAGGCTTGTATTTAAATAACGTGTGCGTTTGTATGTTTTTTACGTAATCACAATTTTATTTATATTTAGACATAAAACGTGTTTATGTGATAAAAATAAATACAAATTCAAATATTTACGTAAATAATTTTGATTTGTTGTTGTATTTTGTATGTGTTTGTATTTATATGCACACACAAATATATATTGCGTAAAAACAAACTTTTAAGTTGAATGCAATTAAATCCGGATTGATCATTTCCCAGCACTAGTCTTCTAAAGCATGAAAGTAAAGCCGTTTTACTCTTGGGATTTTGTTTAAATTAAATATTCAGTTTGGGTGAAAACAAGGAATTGCATATGCACTTCGCTGTGTATTCGCGGTTCTAACCAAGATTGCGTTCCCCCCACTTCCATTTGCTCTGAAATTATTGATAACCTCCAAACCAAAGAGATTTTCTTAAGATGTGCAATACATTTGCATAAAAGATAGTTCCTAGAAACAGATTAGACTTAGCCTTGAACTTCTTTTTGTCTAAGGTTATGCCTAATGCGCGTCTAAGAAAAAAAGAGCCCTAAGATTTTGTTCCTAACGGACGTTCTAATTCAGTAAATGAAAGTGTCTAACACAACGAGCATATACTTTGACAAGCAGCAACCGTCACTATACTGCACATTTGATCAGTAATCCTAGAAATAGAGGAGAAAAACTAGAACAATTGGAAACATCGCTCTGTTGTGATGATTTATATTACATATGCTACTTGCTATTTCATTAATATTGCCTAAATATCGGGTATGAACAAACTCCTCAGGAAAAAGCACGGAGGGATCATTTGCAATGCTTAAAACTTAAAAACAGGGCTGTAACATTCTCTACGATATGAAACAATTGCAAAACCCAAGAGTTCTGTTCGCCCAGGAGGGATTATTTTTTTCCGTTTTCAGTCCATTTTCTAGGATCAGTCCAAAAACAGGGTAGATGTGGTAAATGTGCAAAGCTTGCTAATGTCTTGAGCGACCACCTTCAAACGCATGGTGCTCCTCGTGTGCTGAAAGAAAAACACATAGCATTAAATCATTTTGAACAATTCTGTGACGTAAAACTGCTAATATTCTTATGGTTTTGTTTAAAACTCAAATTGAGGTATAAATTCAATTCATTTAAAAGAAAACCCCCTAATGTCGGGTTCAGACAACTACACTACCTGACAAAAGTCTTGTCGCCTTTTCAAGTTTTAGGAACAACAAATAATAACTTGACCTCTAGTTTATCATTTGGTATCAGTGGCTTATATGAAAGGCTTTAGATTACACTTAATTTACCAAAATAAAATATGATCATGCCTTGATTATTAATTATTTAATTAAGGTGTGACTTTTCTTAGATAAAAGTCCTGTCACTAAACAGAAATAATGTACAGTATATAATATAAAGTCATGGTGCAGAGGAAAAAGAATGAATATTGTGTATGACTCCCATGGGCTTGGAGGACTGCATCCATGCATCTCTGCAATGACTCAAATAAGCTATTAATAAAGTCATCTGGAATGGCAAAGAAAGCATTCTTGCAGGACTCCCAGAGTTCAATAAGATCCTTTGGATTTATCTCCAATGCCTCCTTCATCTAACCCCAGACATGCTCAATAATGTTAATGTCTTGTGACTGGGCTGGCCATTCCTGGAGCACCTTGACCTTCTTTTTTTTCCAGGAACTTTGATGTGGAGGCTGAAGTATGAGAAGGAGCACTATCCTGCTGAAGAATTTGTCCTTTCCTGTGGTTTTGTAATGTAATGGGCAGCACAAATGTCTTGATACCTCAGCCTGATGATGTTGCCATCCACTCTGTAGATCTCTTGCATGCTCCCATATTGAATTTAACCCCAAACCCTGATTTTTCCTTTACCAAACTTGACTGATTTCTATGAGAATCTTGGGTCAATGCGGGTTCCAATAGGTTTTCTGCAGTATTTGCAGTTCAACAGATTTTTCAACTGAAAAATCTATCCTCTGCCACTTTTCCAAATAATCAACTAGAAGTCAAGATAGTATTTGTTGTTCACACAGGTGGGATCCACGACAAGACTTTTGTCAGATATAGTGTACCATACAAAAACATTTGTGAAGCTATTTTGACTAGACACATCACTTCTGTAGAAGTGTTTTCCAAAAGTCAACTACTTGTTCCTGATGATCATTATGCATGTTTTTAAAGACTGTGATAAGTCATCAGCAAGTCCGAAATGTTTCTTGCCTATTAAGAATTTAAAAATCCAAATTTTATGATCTGACACAGTCAAGTGTTATAACACGAAAATACAGTGTAGTCTGAACCCTACACAACACTGTGTTAAACATAAAAGTAAGCTATTAGGGTTTCATATACTTTAATATTTCATTACCATATACACTTAAGCAGAGAGTGTGACATGCTGTGAGTAAAATGTAAACCCCTTACGTTTATAAAATACTGCTTTAAAAGATATCTGTGGAAGAAGTTCGTAGATTCTTCCTAAAACGTTTGCCTCATTGGCAAAAGAGGCGTTTCCATTCCAGACCTGAACCACATCTTCTCGCTCTCTCACACTGACACTTACTCCAACCACTTCATCCTCTGCAAAAACATACAGAAATTACATTATTCTTAGTTTAAGGTCAATTTAATTGATCAATAAAATATACACATATAATAATGTACATCAGGGCTATTCAATTGGTGGCCCGCGATGCACTTTGTTCTGGCCCTCCAAACAGTGTGACCAAGACATCAAAAATAAATTTAGTACAGTAGACAAACAGCCGCTATAGTTATGAAGTTACGTGCGTCTGTTCAATAAAAGCACGAGCTGCAGTTAAAGGCTGCACAGAGCGTGAGTCATCATAAGCGAGTGGTGCGGGCAGCCGAAAACATGTTTGTAGAAAAGGCTATTTGTACAATGCACTGATATCGTTAATAGGGATGCAACAATTAGCCAATTTCACTATTAACTGTGCTTTAATTCGTCACAGTTTATTAATCGTAAAGTCTTCTCTAAGCCGCATTTCTGTTGTACGGAACGAAACTGCAAAATGCCAAGTTGCCTGTGCGCTAGTTTTAAGTTTGAAGTACACCGAGGCTTATACGCACGCACACAGGATTAACTATAGCAGCAGCTGTTCCCATTTCACGTCTTTTCTGCTTGCAGGTTTATTATTTCTAATGTAAGAATATATGACAATATGCGCGTGCCAGCAGAGCAACGCACTTGCGTCTTTCAGGGCGCACGCAGTAGAAAACATCTCACGGTGAGAGTTGTGCGTGATCTTTCAGTGCAATGTAAATAAAAGATATGTTAGACGAATTATTATTAAAATGATTACGCATGCATGAATGCAGATGACAACAACAGTTAAACTAAATAGCTACTTACCTAATATAAAGCTTAAATTTACATTAGAAGTGATAACAGTGAAACCATGATTATTCTTCAGACTATATAATGGTACAACCAAAATCCATGTTATGTTTTAAACTGCATAACAAGGATGCAACAATTATAGATTTTGGTTGTACCATTATATAGTCTGAAGAATAATCATGGTTTCACTGTTATCACTTCTAATGTAAATTCGTGTCTGAATGTAGAAGAAGCCTACTTCAGCAATGCACTGCTTTTGTTGTGCTCTGAAATACATTTGAATGTTTGTAAAAAAAAAAAAAAAAAAAGTCTATTGTACAATGCACTGATATTATGTAGTTTCAAAATACAATATATTAACATTTTAATGTAGAAAAAGCTAACGTGGCTGTCTTAAGGAGCAAAAACATACAGCATGTGGGCCCCTATATGCTGTTGTGTCATCACTCATATAGCAAGTTATACCTCTCCGGCCATTCGTTTGGGATGCTTTTCATGAACCGGCCTCCATGACACACTAATTGAATAGCCCTGATGTACATCCTTTAAGAACATTTATTTCCACACTCACCTGATGCACAATAATCTGTGAACTGTTCACCAATCGTAGCCAACAGCAGTTCTTTCCACACAGCTAACTGGTTGACAAAAGAATATAGAGGAAAAAAATGACAAAAAGCACAGCAAAAGTATATAATATACAGTTGAAGTCAGAATTATTAGCCCCCTTTGAATTCTTTTTTTTGTTTGTTTTTGAATTAGCCCCCTTTGAATTTCCCAAATGATGTTTAACAGAGCAAGGAAATTTTCACAGTATGTCTGATAATATTTTTTCTTCTGGAGTAAGTATTATTTGTTTTATTTCAGCTAGAATAAAATCAGTTTTTAATTTTTTAAAACACCATTTTAAGGTCAATATTATATGCCCCTTTAAGCTAATTTTTTTTCTTGATAGTCTACAGAACAAACCTTCATTATTCAATAACTTGCCTAATTACCCTAAGCTGCCTAGTTAACCTAATTAACCCAGATAAGCCTTTAAATGTCACTTTAAGCTGTATAGAAGTGTCTTGAAAAATATCTAGTGAAATATTATATACTGTCATCATGGCAAAGACAAAATAAATCAGTTATTATAGATAAGTTTTTAAAACTATTATGTTTAGAAATGTGTTAAATAAATCTCTCTGTTAAACAGAAATTGGGGAAAAAAATAAACAAATGATCTAATAATTCAGGGGGGCTAATAATTCTGACTTTATATGTGTGAAGATTTTGTGTTTACATTATGCAGGCTTTAAGGTCTTAACAGACACCATTATGACATAATTTAACAGACTTACTGTGCTCTCCTTTGGCACTTTCATTTTCCAAACACCTCCCTTTGCATTGCTTTCCTCCTCCCTGTGTTCATATAAAAATAAATACATGTATAAATCAAGCAATTTGGTCACCTGAAATACACTTGGTGCTGCTTATTCTGCAAGGACAGAGTATCGTTAAGATGTTAAGGTAAAATCTATAAGATATTAAATCTTTCATTTTTTGATCGTCACCAATGCTTTCTTGGATCATACAAAACAAAAAATACAAACAGTTTAACAACATTATTTTACAAAAGTTTAACATGTTAAGTGAGAAAGTGGGATTGTATATTTTAAATAATTCCTTAAAGGGTCACGAAACACCAAAACACATTTTTTGAGCTGTTGACAGTTGTATATGTGTCCCACGCTGCTAAAAACACTATTAGGACATATATCTTTCACAAAAAAAGTGAAAATTGGTTGTTTTTGCGTTGTTTCTAGCAAATTCGTTCTTCCGGTTTGAAACTGCGTCATGCCTATTAGATCCTTGCGTGTAATCCAGTGTGGAGAGTGGATGTCTGTACCTGGGAGTACATCATGACGTCTCTGAGTCTGCTGCATTAATTCATGAGAAAGCCTTGGTTCAAACCAATCAGCGCGCTCTATTGTGTATACGGTGCAACTTCATTAATATGCATGATAGCTTCAAAGACTGTCTTTACCCGTTACAGTGTTCAGACAGCAGAGAGACGACACGTTGTGTTGCCAAAACAAGTGGAAGAAGAAGAATTGTTTGGAGACCTGGGTCGTCAGTGTTTAGTTTATAATTGTGCTGCAATGACGGTTTTGTTTTTATTTCCCGCTATAAGAGAAAGAGCTAGACTCACGTGTGGATTACAGTGCACGCGACACGCAACAGAAATAAGTTTGTATGGAACGTTTTTTACCCTAGAACTTTTTGCATCTCTCCGTGTGTAAACATGTAAACAACGCAAAACTATTACCGTTGTGTAGAATTTTCGCTGCATTTTGTGGCAGTATAGTCTATACACACACAGCTTTCTGATGCTACATACAGAGTGCATTTAATTTACAGCGAAATGTGAAGGTTTTTTTTTTTCTTCCATTCACCGTGCGGTATCAAACATTGCATTAAAACAACACTCTTCCAGCAGTTCCTCGTTTGCAATATCTCGTTTGTCACAGGGGGGCATGCATGATATGTTCTTTAATGAAAGTGAAAGTGCCAAACTGCAGTTAAAGTCCACCATTGAATAATTTGGCATATAATTTGCTTACTGATGTCCATGTAAACGCAGTCACTGTCTTTGTATGTGTTTGCGTATGTGTTTGTTTTGCCTCTGTGAAAATCAGCGAGTGCCCACACGGAAATTCCCATTTTTATGCAAATTTTTATGCACCTTTCCTCTTTCCCTCCCCCGACACTCACACCTAAACAAAGCTGGACTCACCCACTTTCCAGACTTTTTGCAAACTAGAGGTGTGAAAACACCCTGCTGAAACAGAGGGGTTTAGTAGCCATTTAAATATTTACCAATGATCGCTCATTTTGTTAAACCGAGTGATCTTTGTGAAGATGAAAGTAATTTAATTTGTATACAGTTATCATAACTTACAACCTTATAATAAGGAAATATAAACATTATAAATTAACTACATGAAATGGAAGTTCAGGTGGCTGAGTGGTTAGCACTGTCGCCTCACAGCAAGAAAGTCACTGGTTCGAGCTCCCAGTTGGCGTTTCTGTGTGAAGTTTGCGTGTTCTCCCCGTGTTCGTGAGGGTTTCCTTCGCGTGCTCCGATGTGAATGTGAGTGTGTATGGGTGATTCCCAGTACTGGACAGCGGCTGAAAGGGCATCTGCTTTGTAAAACATATGCTGAATAAGCTGGTGGTTCATTCCACTGTGGCAACCCCTGATAAATAAGGGACTAATCTAAAGGAAAATGAATGAATGAATGAAAGTTTCAAGAAAGACGGTCAAAATGCTACAATACATAAAGTTGTTTAATTATATTTGTGACATGATAGTGCAGAAGTATGATAGGAATGACAGATAATTTATCAGCAAAACTTCAGTGATTTTATACAACAATTCGATAAGCAAAAAGTTATACGGCTGCACGATATTGGAAAAAACTGACATTGTGATATTTAGTTTTTCTGATATATCCTAGGGGTGTGACGAGATGCCAACTCCACAAGACGAGACACGAGATTAATTTCACAAGGACTTTTACACTATTTTAAAAAAATCTTGAATGATGAAACATATTAATGGAATAGTCTTCGAATTCAAATATTTTGCTAATATATGAATGGAAAATAGTTGTTTTTTAGAAATTAATAATAAATAAATAAATAAATAAATAAAAAAGATGATTCACAAAACACAAAACAATTTAGGTGTTTTTTTTTATCAGCTTGTAATTAATTTACTTCAATTTTAGTGAACATGCATATAACTATATGTATGCAATAGTTTTAAATTAGTTTATATTGAATTCTATGCAATAAACATGCAAACACTGCAAAAAAAATTGTTAATATATAAATGGAAAATAGCAAATGCTACTGACTGGATTTCCCATATAGAATTTTAGAGTTTTTACACTGCAGATCTTGATGGACAAATCAGGTATTGTCACAAAATCTGATTTGTCCATCAAGATCTGCAGTGTAAAAACTCTAAAATTCTATATGGGAAATCCATTCAGTAGCATTTGCTATTTTGACCGGCTTGCATTTATTATCTTTTAAAGGTGACCTTTAAAATCCGATTGTCTGCATTTACACCGCACACAGCAAAAGGCGCAATGACCAGGGGTTCAATCATCAATTTAAAAAAGCTGTCCAATATGGAATGCTGTTAGCTAAAAAAAAGTTCTTTGTTTTTGGAAAAAGCATCAAAACCAGTTTTTAAATCCTGGCTTTCTGAATTCTCTAGCACTTTACATTTGGAGAGACGAAGACACAATCTTTCTAATAACATTGCCGGCTTTGAAACCACCTGGAAAACCTTTTTTTTATTATTTGTCAAATGCCAAGCATAACAGTTTAAAGGTATAACCCTGGCATTGTCTGCAAGATCACCATATTGCCTGTGCCCACTGGCCTAGATATAAGCGTGTAAGATTTAGGGCGGGAAGGTATGGGCAAAAAATCATATCTCTGTATTTTTAGGAGTAATGAAGGTACACTATATATATCTGATATATCCCATAATTGGCTACTTGAGAGTTAAAGCCTTTATTAAACAGTTTTTAAACAAAATATAAATCATACTGGGGTTTCGCTCACTGTTTACAAATAAACAGCTGCACAAAAGAATAACAGCTGCAGAAAATCTTTGATAAATAAAATACAGTACAGGTTTTTCCCTTTTTGTTTCGACTAAACTTGTTTTTACTAAATATTAAATAGGGAGATGAAAACGTATAGACTATAGATATGAGAAGTAACAAAATTGTTTCGCAGTGCCGCGATAAAATGTTGGTTAAGCATAGAAATGTAAACAGACCAAAACGCAGAGCTAAACGTGTAATAATGTAAAGAAGAGACCGTCGTGTAATAAATACTGAACTTATAATCAGTGAATTTGAGGTGGTTTCACTTTCGAAATAGTTTAAATTCCTCCCATTTTGGCGTTTTTAATTATTTTGAATACATTCAGGTGCTGCTTGTTAATTTGACAAGGCTTCTATGTTTGTTCTTGCTGTTAATTGTGGAAGAAATAATCAATAAAAGGTTTCTGATAAACTGCTGTGACAGCTGCAGGCATTGTGTGACGTGCATGCACAAGATGGGGGGGATCAGATTTGTCAGTGGAGTCAAATGTCGATACAACACCGGCACTGCATGTTCCATGTCACTTCAGTGATGGGTCATTCTTGAATGATTTGTTCCATTTTGAACAAATATTTTGTATGACTCATGGAGTGAATCATTCATTTGCGCATGCACACATCTGTGCAAGTGGAGCTCGCGTGCTACCTTGGAGTGGTCTGTTTCGTGCAGAATGCTCATGTGTGGCCTCAAACCATTTTAATATGAACGATATTGAATAATCTCGCAACGCGCTGGGGAATCATATTGATAGATCCCCAGAAGTTGATATACCACGCAGCCCTAGTAAGATTGTTGACCCATGTATAATACTGGAGGAACTGATGTAAAAATGGTTTTAAAATCTTTTTTCTGTCTTTTTTGTTCGCGTTTTCTTTGTTGTCTTTATAATTTTTGTTGGTTTTTGTGTTGCTTTAAGAAAAAAATATATATAATATAAAAAAAAAGGTGCAATGAGCAAGGGGAGAGAAAAAATAAAATAAAAAATGAGCGGGCGCTGACTGACAGCTGATAATAAAAAGCGCTCCTTTCTCCACTCCTGTATTTTTTCTGTTTGCATGGTTTCATTTTTTTTATTTTTGACAAGTTGTTTTGCTATAGTTTAAGACAGAAACGTTCTCATTTTGCCATCTTTTAATCTAGGCTTTTTTAAACGAGTAGCTATTTTAATGTCATGTTCATGGCGTGATTTATGCATGTTTTATTTATGCAATAGTTTTATATTAGCTGATACTATGAGGCGGATGTTGCACTTAAACATGCTTTTGATGATAAAGGCAGGTGTGTTGAGTCTCCAGCTGTCCAGTATGTGTGTGCGCTTAGAGATGTGTGTAGCTGCAGAGAAACTCATGACTTTTCACCAAGACGGGAAATCTCGTTGCGATTTAATCTCACACGAGATCTCGTGACACCCCTAATATATACATTGCAATATTATGAATGTAATTTTGCCAGATCAGTTAAATAACTGTTTGGTAAGAATTCATTATTGACATTGATAGGGAATGTAACAAACAATGATATAATTAACAAATTTAAGGCATGATTTAATACAATAGTGAAAAAGATACAAGTCTGTATTATACTGTATTAAATACAATTAATCTTAGTTAAAGCTTCACATTTCAGATTTTTTTGTGCCCCGGTGGGTTTAAACTACTTGAAATGCTTAAAAATGTTTTACTTTATTACAGTTAAACTTTGCACGTGTTCAAACCTGGGTTTTCTGCATAATTATAATCCCAACTCGACATTGCAGATCCTGCGATGTGTGAATATTGCAGATTCACATCGCAATATTGATGCTAAAACCATATATTGTGAAGCTCTAATACTTATGAGTAACTTTGCACATGTAAATAACTCTAATGCACTTACATTTGACAGAAGGTTTAATGGGATCATCTTTGCTAGACATGTTTTTGTAACATTAATACCTGTAACGGTCACTTAATACTTCAATGCATTTAATGCATAAAATCTTAGTGTATATCGTGTATTGGAAGATTTGTATAAATCTATTCAACAAAAACCAGACTTACCATAGTGGCCTTCTTTCTCCTCGCATTAAGTGGTAGCTACACCTCAGGGGGAGGCAGGACACAGGAGGGATGTTGTTGTACACACTCCAAAAACTCTTTATGTGATGAAAAACATGAGAAACCCCTATCAGTCACAGTATTTTTCTCTTAATTCCAACTTATAATGTTTTAATGCTTATTGTTTCAAATAGGCATGAAACGGAAGTCAAGATTGTCCTTTTTTAATCCTTATTTTTATATTGTGATGTACATGAAACGATCCTAATATGAAAAAAAATTGTAGGGCGGTGCATGATTTCGTCCTGAGGGGTTTTAATATTAGGGGAAAACTAAATCAAAAACTACATAGCCCAGAGTGGAAAAAGTCTTTGCCCCTAAGGTTGCATTTACATCTGTAAGGTGGGCAACAAATGATTCATTGAAGCATTTTCTGCCGTCTTTGGGTCCCTTCACATCACACTGATTGCTTTGGTCCGAACCAGTTAAAAAGAACCAAAATGCAGTCATCTGACAAAATCCAGATCACTTATTGGCCAGATGTTAATAAACGTATTTCCCAAACTGCTTTTTGATTGGTCAGAATTCACGTGCGGGAAAATGCCAATGAAACTCCCGCAAATAAACAAACAGGCGGACACAAAATGCCGCTTTTTACCATGGAGGTACGACTGCACTGGCAGATTGTATCCTTGCTCATACTATACTACAGGGTGGGTCATTTATATAGATACACCTTAATATAATGGGAATAGTGAGGGGGCTTGTAAATAACTCATGAAAGAGTAAAGTTACGTTAAAACCAAGTACACTATTGTTTTTCTTGTGACATTCCCAATAAGTTTTATTAAGGTATATCCATATAAATGGCCCATCCTGTATATAGTTTGTATGCATCACTAGACAAACTATACATTTTGAGAATGAAGTGTGGCTGCGGCTGGAAAATAATGTTTTAATTTTATTTATTTATTTATCAGGATCCCCATTAGCCACTGCTATTCTTCCTGGGGTCCATCGAACATAACACAAAATTACATTAATACACAACAACAAAGACTAATAAAAACATTAAAATACAAAATTCATACATAACATCCAAATCAACAATCCACTTAATATTGTTCCATTAAATATTTTTTAAATGATTTTTTAAACCTCCTTTTACTTGTTACAAAGCATGTAATGTCTGACGGCAATTCATTCCATATTTTCATTCCTCTATACATCACGGTACGTTGCTTTGCATTAGTTTTTGAAATGGGAAGCAAAAAATTTCCTTTTAATGCATTGCAAACAGCGAAGGAGCATCGCACGTCACTTCAGGAGGAGGCGTGAATTAACTTAGCTAAACTGCTTCATGGTCATCTTCCGGAAATATTACCAATGATCCATCCGGTAATGTTTTCCCTCTCCCTCTCTCTCTCCCTCTCTCTCTGTTTGAAAATTGTTGACAAAGCACTGTAAACAAATATTTTTCCTCCACATCCCATAATGCACAGTGCATCGGCCTTCGGCAGCTGGATTAGTACAAAATGGCGCAGTACTTTTTGCGGTTGGGTCTGTTTTACTTTTTTGGTCCGCTTTTGGTGCGCACTAGAGCACGACTGCTACATTCACACCTACTCAAACGGACTGCACCCATAGGGAAAACTAACTCTAGTGCAATTCAACCCAACTAAATAAGGCAGGTGTGAAATCACCCTAAATGTAATAACTGTTTGGGCCACCCTTAACACCAATAACTGCAACCAAGCATCTTTTCATCTTTGCAGAATTGTTGAAATTCTGCCACATTGGAGATGATGCATTCGAGCATAAACCACCTTTTTAGGGTCATGCCACAGCTTCTTAATTGGATTTAGGTCAGGACTTTGACTAGGCCACTCCAAAGTCTTCATTTTGTTTTTCTTCAGCCATTCAGAAGTGGATTTGTTGGTGTGCTTTGGATCATTGTCCTGCTGCAGAAGCCAAGTACGCTTCAGCATGAAGTCATTAACAGATAGAAGTACATTATCCTTTAGGATATTTTGGTACACAGCAGAATTCATGGTGCCATTTATCACAGCTAGTCTTCCTGGTCCTGAAGCAACTAAACAAAAAAGCCCCAGACCATCACACTACCACCACGTTTTACTGTTGGTATGATGTTCTTTTTCTGAAATGTTGTGTTACGTTTACTCCACACATAATACGACACTTTCCAAAATGTTTTTGTTCGTCTCATCAGTCCACAGTGTATTTTCACAAAAGTCCTGGGGATCATCAATATATTTTCTAGCAAAAGTCAGAAGAGTCTTTATGTCCATTTTGCTCAGCAGGGGTTTTTCTCTTGGTTTGCCATGCAAACCATGTGAACACTCACCTTGCCTGAAGCAGGTGATGTTTTTGTGGGGTCATTTGTGACCTTTTGAAAGAGTTGTCACTTCACTCTTGTGGTAATTTTGGTCTGCTGTCCACCCCTGGGAAGGTTCGCCACTGTTCCATGTTTTAGCGATTTGTACATGACAGCCCTCACTGTGGTTTGCTGCAGTCCCGAAGCTTTAGAAATGGCTTCATAACCTTTTCCAGACTGGAAGATTTTAATGACTTTCTTTCTCATTTGTTTTTGAATTTCTTTGGATCTCTGCATGATGCCTAGCTTTTGAGGATCTTTTGGTCTACTTCATGTCAGGCAGGTGCCATTTAGGTGATTTCTTGATTGCAAACAGGTGTAGCAATAATCAGGTCTGGGTGTGGCTGGAGAATTTAACTCAGGTAAGATAAACCAGATTTAAGTTGTGTTTTAACCAGGCGGGGTGGGAGGGGGCAATCATTTTTTCACACTGGGCTATGTAGTTTTAGATTTTATTTCCTCTTAATAATAAAAAACTTCATTTACAAAATGTGTGATGTGTTTACTTGTGTTATCTTTGACTAATATTAAAATTCGTTTGATGTTCTGAATCATTCAAGTGAGACAAACATGCAAAGAAATAAGAAGTTTGTAAGGGGGCAACACAACACTGCGAGTATAAAAAAAGAGTTAATTTTGATTTCATTTCAACTTCAAGTAAATCTAAAGCTATAACAAATTAAACAAAATTATCAGTTATCCTAAAATAGCATATTAGCATCTTTCCAATTTGTACTTGCCATGAACTTGAAAAAATAATCTAATAAAAACCATAAAACAATAAAAACTCAGAAATGACACCACACCTTCATTAACAAGGTAGTCTTTCAGGTTGATCGGGCACAACATATATAATGGGCACACAAAACAACTCAACACAAAAAAGGCAATTAAAAATTGACAGAAACACTTACCTGTACAGTGTGGACAGTATATATCTTTTTCAGATTTGATTCACACTCTGCTGCCGTTGTACCTGGTAATGACCTAGAAAAAAAAAGAAGACAAGCTCTATACTGTTAATTACTGTTTATTAAAAATAAAATAATAATCCAACAAAAAAAAAAAAAAAACCCTGTCATTATTTACACACTCTCATTTCACCCCGAACCTGTATGACTTCCTGTCATCTGTGGAAGAATAATGAATCCATAAACAATGCAATCAAAACTGTGGTCAGGAAAATGAAAGTGAATGTGAACTGTGCTGTCAAGCTTTAAAATGGTTGGCGGGCGTGATGCATTTTGCTTTTTTTGGGTGAACTATCTTTTAAAAAAAGACAAATAAAGACAATCTTAGCATATTAACAATGTATATCACAAATAGATGTTTAATAATTTAGTGTACCCCAAAACGCAAATTTATTTAGCCTCAAGTTGTTCCAAACCTTTATAAGTTTCATTAGTCTGTTGAACAAAAACAAAGATATTTTGAAGAAAGCTGAAAACCTGTAACAACTGTCATCCAAATAAATAAAAAAATAAATAAAATAAAACACTAAAATAAACACTATGGAGGTCAATGGTTACAGGTTTCCATCTGAATTTGAATTTATTTTATTTAACAGGGACAATGCTCATTAATCAACAGTAAAACTGTAAATAAGCCAGAGTTAGCCACAAGGGCTAATTTTCATCAGTTGCCCCCTGCCAGATTTTAAAAGGCAACCTAAAAAAAAAAACACATCATCACACATACAAAAACAGTAAAGTTACATATGACAAAAAGAGATAAAAACATGTAAGAAGAATTTCTTAAAATGTTAGACAAAAGAATTACACATTATTACAAACTTGATTTGCTTTTAGCCATTTCTTTAACTTGTATTTAAAAGTAGAATAATTTGTAACAACCCTTAAGTCAATCGGAAGTGTGTTCCAATAATGACTGGCTCTAACTGAGAAGACTGATCATGCAAAAGTTGTACGTCTAAACTGCACAGCACAGTCTCCCCTGGTAACAGATCGTGTTGCTTGACCGTTATTGTTCTTGTGTGTCACAAACTCACATAATGGAGGTGGAGCATATCCATTTAAAAATTTTTAAATCATACAAGCATCAGCCAAATATTTCATATTATCGAAGCTCAATAAATAATGTTTTTGTATAATATTACATTGAGGATACCTAATAGACTTTTGATCAAATACTTTCAGTGCCTGTTTATAAGGTGATTCAACTGATTTTAAAACTGTTTTACTAGCATGCGACCGACTAGTAAGACAATATGTAATATGAGAAAAAATCATGGAGTGCATAAAAAGTTTTGCTGCTTCATTAGTCAAGTAAGGTCGTATATACCTGAAGTTGGCCAGATTAAACTTAACAATTTTAATAACCTTCTTGGCATGCTTTTGGAAAGTTAATTGAGAATCTAAAATTAGACCTAAATATTTAAAATCAGAGACAACCCTGAGCTTTTCTCCTTTAAGAAATACATCAGGATGATGGGTAACTGTCAATGATTGTGAGAAAAACATACAAACCGTTTTACTTTTATTCAAATTAAGATGTAATTCACACAACCAATCAGATACATGAACTAATGCCTCAGTTAAATAATTTGCTGCCAGATGCTTGTTTTGCGCGTGTACATATAGAACTGTGTCATCAGCATCTATATCTATCTTCAAAAAAGATATAACAGAAGAAAGAAACTCAAACAGCTTTGAAATGAGTGAAGGGTTTGTAAATGACAGAATTTTCAGTTTTTGGGTGAGCTATGCCTTTTAATATGGAGCCAGGTCAGTTTCAAAACTATTACATTTACAAGATAAAATTCATACATGCACAGCACAATTCAGATTTACAAAAACCAATTTGTATTCATCCAATTCATAAATACAACACGTTATTAGTAAAAGTGAAAATCATAAATATTTTTGTTGAATTAATTGGATTTAAATATATTATGAATTGTGTTTTGAACTTACGAATAGGACTTGTGTATTATTGAATCGTGTTTTGAACTTATGAATTGGACTTGCATATTAATGAATCGTGTTTTGAACTCATGAATTGGATTTGTGTATTTCTGAATGATAATTAAAATTTACAAACTGGATTTGTGTAATTACAAACCATGTTTTGAATTTACTAATTGGATTAGTGCATTTGTGAATTGTGTTTTGAACTTACAAATTGGATTTTGTAAATGTGACTTGTGTTGTGAATGTGTATGAATAATATTTTGTAAATGTTTTCTTTTTGAGACTGATCTGGCTCCATATTTCAAAGGATTATCTTCCATCTTCAGTCAAGTGCAGTTCGGTGCTTGTGATCATGATAGGAGACAATACACAAGCATTTCACAATCTAAATGGCATCAAATGTCAGTCAGACAGTAAACAGGACTTCAACCCTTTAGAAAATTATTACCAATATAACCACAGAGAACATTTTGCGGAAGAGAAACTTTACAGAGGGGAAAAAGAAACTAATTTTTTTTCCTTTCACTGTTTAAAGCACATAAATTACAGATGTGTATACTAACACACGATAGATACGTATATGATAGATAAGTATAAGATAAGAATGTCAAGTTCAGCTTCAGATTAGAATGTCAAGTTCAGCTTCAGTTTATTCATCCCTCTGGAAATTTGAGTGGAATTCATACTGACCAGGAACCATATTGTTAAGTGATTGTGAAGTTTAACCTTAATAAAGTAAAAGAGTGCTTGTTTGCTTTGTTTTAAAGTCCTATGAATCTAACATTTCATGTGCATTTAAATAATTTATGTACAAGAATTTATAACAATGAAAATGAATTGCATTTAACTTCTACAACATGAAGACTATGCAGTTTTATTTGATTATGTCTCAAAAAAAGTTATACTCACCAAAAACATACAAAAAATTCATTTATGCAGATTATCTGGCCTATGCAGTCAATCTAGGGCCATATATACTTGCAAAATAAAAGAAAGTTTTGCAAACAAAAAATAAAGTATTGAGCAAAAAATAAATAAATGCAAATCTCCCCCAAAAAATTCAAAAATAAAATCGCAAAGTAAAAAGTAGAGATGGCTGACGTGAAACTGACGTTTCGACACAGTGTTGAGATCGCGAAGCGCAAGTGTTTTGAAACACTGCACCGAATCATGAACCGTAACACCCAAGACATGTGACTAAAGTGTTTCGAAACACCAGGAGCCTCATGTACGAAGACTTGCGTGGAAATCATACTAAAACATTGCGTACGCACAAAGCTGTAAATGTGCGTACGCAGAAAAAAATTTAGATGTATGAAACACTGCGTACGCCGAATCTCACGCATATTCTTTTGTACATCCGAATAAACGTGAAACTGAGCGCAACATGCACGAGCACAAAACCCCTCCCTGCCTCCTCCCCCGTATGAATATGCAAATGATTCTACTTTGGCAAAACCCAACGAAAAAGCAATGGCAAAAGCAAGCAAAAAGAGAAACTTTGAACAGAATGTGAATTGAAGGTGCTGCTTTCGGAGGTAGACCGGAGAAAAGCGGTGTTATTTGCAAGTTTGTTCTTAGGAATTAACAACAAAAGAAAAAAATTGAGTGGGAGAGTTTAGCTGATGCGGTTAACACAGCTGGGTCTGAACATTGAGTGAATTAGAAAAGAAATGGTGTGATTTATTGGTGTAAAATGTTGCAGTACTTTTAACAGTCTCTGTGGCGCACCTCGTAAAACGCATGTCAACATGTTTTGACACGTTCAAGCATGAACTCGGTTCGAATCCAGCGCCTTATGAACTCTTTCTTCTTTTTTCCCCGCTACATATCAGATTTTGCCAACTATTTTTCACGAGAAAGACAAGTAGGAATCATTAATAAGTTTGTGCATCATATTTTATTTGCACATTTAGTGAATGGAAATGTTTCTGATTCACGTATGCAAATTCATCTTCAGATAGTGTCTTTATAGCAATGTGCGTGCAGTAGATAGCTCAGATTACATTGGGAAAACAGGCGACCGCTGCAAATTGCGCTTTAATGTTTAGTTGGTCAACTGTATGGTATCTGTTTTATGGTGTAATCTAGATAGGATACAGCTGCGGATACGCCATCAATTTATTTCATCATTAATTTTTGTAACACTGCAAAACAATAATTAATATTTTTACAGTACTGTGATGGTTGGGTTTAGGGCTTGGGTTAATAAAATACAATAAATGGGAAATTTAATGAATAAGATAAATAATTCTTGTTAACTTCTGGTCACAACTGTGTCTGATCTAGCAACATACCTGTTTTATGACCAATACAAGACAAATTTATTCACAAAGTGTTTATTCGGATCTCTGACCAATGTTGAAACAAAACGATACAAGAACAAAGCATTGCCAACTGGTATTAAAGCATTTCAAAATAGCTGTATTGACCTGGATTCGAACACACTATCCCCACATGGTAGTCGCAAACTCTTTACCACTCCACTAAATCTATTGTATGTTCATGTCTGCAAAGTGGGGTTTAATACCTCAATTTGCTCAACTGTTATTTGCTGAAGCTGTTTCAGTGCAATACATTAAAAAATGACCACTAGGTGTCACCATAGAATGAGGTTTCAAAACGTTTCGAAGCTTCGACACATTTGCTTCGACTCTTTCAGTGTTTCATGAAGCCTCGCTCAACTCACCACTAATGAAAAGTAATTTTTAAGAAATACAAAATAGATTTTACTAACAAAAATAAAGAACTGCAAAGGGAAAATTAAGTTTTGAGAAATAAGAATGAACTTTGCAAACACAAAAGTACTGCAAATAAAAGTTAAGCAGTGTAAAAAAAACTACAATATTTGCATATATTCAACCGTGAGCTTGCAATGCTGTTTTCACTTTGTGGCCTTAATTTGGCAAGCAGGTGGAGTCAAAAGATCTGAAGCGGCGGTCACACTAGAGTTTGATAATGCGAAATTTTGTCATGCGGAGCTGCGAAAAATGGCAAGATTAAACGTTTAAAAAAAGCGAGCGATTGGTCCAGATAGGTCATGTTTTGATCCCCGATTGGTCTCACGGATGTCAAGTGTAGCGATTTCACAGGTCAGAGTTCACCAAGCTTGAACTTTGCACCTCAGCAAACTTGACGCATAACCTTGCATTTCCGATCTGACGTATTCGTGTGCGTATGAATGGGAGTCTATGGGAAGAAAAGTGCAGTGTGAACGCAACTTTAGGCATTTAAGGCAGGCCCGGACCTGTCTCCTTTAAGCGACATCATCACCTGGAGACACAGTATCATTGAGGTGGTCGGGAGCTGCCGTTAACGCCCAAGTTCCCTTGACTCTGCCCCCTTGTCAAGTCAGGGCTACAAAGTGAACGTGCAGAAGCATGAAGTGCAAAGTGAAAACAGCATCGCAAACTCACGGTTGACTAAAAAGCCAAACAAAATGAGCATTGCAATTGACTAGATAAATTTTGTAAAGGGAAGGCTATAAAAAATGATTTGTAAATATATAGTTTTTTTTTTATTGCAAATATTTAAGTTTTTTTGCACTGCTTGACTTTTTTTTTGCAGTTATTTTTTGTTAGATAAATTTCATTTTTACTTCTCAACACTTAATTTTCCCTTTGCAGTTCTTTATTTTAGTTAGCAAAATTAATTATTTTTGTACAAATGTATTTTTCCTTTGTGATTTTTGGAAATTTGCATTTATTTTTGCTCAATTTTTTTGTTTGCAAAACTTTTTTTTTTTTTTTTTAATTTTGCAAGTGTATATGGCCCTAGATTGCATCCATAGCCTACTAAATCATCCCAATCAATATCCAATTATGAGTTCTTTCCAAATTGAGCTATTCAAGTCATCTGGTGAAATAATTATATGCATTTGGCAATAATTATTGCAGGAAATAACTAAATCGCAATGTCTGATTTTTCCAGTTTCCTGCAGCACTTATAGATAGACAGACAGATTATAATAAGATTATAATAATTTTTTATGTTTTTAATAAATAAATCACATATACAATAAATAGCTCAAGATTTAATATAAATCTCATGCAAGTGAATGCAACTTAGAGACAGTCATATTAAAGTATCAAAAGTTTGTCTGCATTGACGGTGACCTACATTTTAATATCACAAACAAAACCAAAATGGGCTCATGACATAACTTTGAAGTACACCTTTACCATAACACACCGTTAGATGATTTACAGAGATTTAGGAACTACGTGATATCCGATATTAAATAACAACCATGACCTACAGGTGACTCGACCTACTTTAGCAAGTTATTATATCAGCTCTGCGTTATGACGCTTGTAAAACTCATAAACATTAAGTCACGCGATTGAACCTTCAAACAGCATTAGATATGTTCGTTCACAAGACGAAAACAGAATTGTTAGCTTTAAAAATGAGAAATATAAAATTGGGCCTTTGTTCCCGGGCATTCGAATACAGAAACTAGTATCTATAACAACATAAACATGATAAAACAGCCTACCGATCGAGCCAGAAGGTCCAGGGCGAGTGCAGCGGCAATGAGGTGCCATCCTCGACATGGTTGGTGATGTTTTCCAGCTCTCTCTCGTCGATGTGGATGTCGTTTTCCGTAGAGTTGACTGGGCTGCTTTGTCTCGCCGTGTTCAGCTGCAGGTTTGGGGCTGCAGGAACCGCCATTTTTTGCTTTATTGAAGCTAATCGATATGCAAGTGTGTTGCTGGGAGATCTATACTAATCTCCACATGCAAAAATTGACAGATTATTGATGCTGACTGATTTGCCGTTCGGCCGGCAGGACTTGCCGCGTCACCGACACAACAACAACAACAGAGACGGACAGAGGAGGTTGAAGTCAGGCACAGCTCCCTCTGACTCAATCGCACTTCAAAATAAAAGCACACAGACGCGGCGCGCTTTAATGAAAAAAAGTGCTTATGAAAACAAATTAAAAAATATAATTTCGCTACGAAAAGTGTTAATATTATGTTATGCTCGTGAAAATAAAAACAAATACCTTGACGTGTTTTTCATTTTTATTTTAAGTACGTGTGAAATAAAAATGTGCAATGTTCATTTTGCTAGCACACATTGTTATTTTTCAGGTGAACAAATAATCCGTGCAAGTTAATCCAATGACAAATATATAGTTTCGGTAATCTTCGTGAAGTGGATGTCCTTGACATCAGTTTAAAGGCTCAGTTTGACACAATATAACCACGCCCCTCTTACATTAACGCCGCCTCCTACTCAGTATTTCCTTTCAGCAAAGAACATAGATTAACATACTTAAACAAAAATCTCTCAAATCAAAGCAACTTCTGGTTCATGGGGACTATAAAAATGACTATAAAATGTTTTTTTAACCTTGTGTTTCCTAAGCTTGCCTCTGTACCTTTTGTTTATTATAATGTCTGCAACAATATGTATTCTGCCCCTTAAATGTTTTCTTCTTCATTAAGAAAATTATAATTAAAAGGTTCTTAGTAATTTGCCCTGTAGATTGTGTTATTGAGTTAGAAGGCAGTGGCTCTGTAATTGTTCTTTAGACGAACACTGCCATCTTGTGTTCACATTGTGGAAAGCAGCAAGTGACAGGAAATAGGAAGAACAGAGTAGCCATTTTGTAGAAGCTCTTGCAGTGGAAAGACCTACGTGCTGTGTCTCTGCTTACAACTTGGTATTCTGCCCTTGATAAGGCATGATCTGTAAGTTTAATGTATATTAGTTTGCTTAGGTATATATTAGAGCTTTGTTTAGCAATATTATGACCTTTTGTGTTACTGCATGTTATATTTGTTAATGAAGTAATTAGAGCTACCTGTCTTCCCATGTGCTAGCCTATAGCATGCTAGTATGTAGTTTAAAAGTCATATTCATGTATGTACAAGGAAACTGAATGTATATTCATGTCATTATTGTTTCTGTTACAGTTTTACAAAGAAAATAAGGAACAAATATTACAAGTGGTACATCAGTAAAGCTTCAAAGAATGCTACACTGTCTCACGAGTGCTTACTGAAGCCATTTATGTTTAGCTCGCTGCATAGGCTAAATAAGTACTTTTGGCTGAGGGCAGAAGAGTAAAAAGATCGTCTAAACATCAAGTGCATCCCTGCAATCTTGAGAAACATTGCTTTAGCAAACATGTCCAAACATGGAGACAGCTCACGTCTTTCGCAACTGGAAGTCAGATCAGAGTGCAAATCATCCACGTCACGTCGATCAAGTAGCTCAGCAGCCAGCCTCGCTGCAGCACAAGCACGAGCCAACGCTGAAGCTGCCCGCGCTAGAGCAGAGTATGCCAAACGACAAATAGACATGGAGGTTGAGAAGGCTCGTATGGAAGCTAAACTTAACGCACTCAAACAAGAGGGAGAAGCTGAGGCTGCACTCGCTGCAGCAAGGGTCCTGGAAGCTGCAGTTTTGGAACAGCCAGAGTTTGTGGAACCACCAAACCTACCTGCTACGGCCACATCTGTCAGTCGCACTGAAGAGTATGTAAAAAGCCACTTTCACAATAATACTAATATGAAACCAGAAAAAATGGACAAAGAAGAGGATGACACTCACAACAGCCATAAGGTAGAACCAAGCCAACCACCCACTGCTCCAGATTCATGTGAATACACCAACAGATCTCCACCCGCTTGTCAGTCCAGGTTTTCACCACCTCACTCAAACCTAAGAACATCTGACATATCACACCTTGCTACGCTCCTCTCACGTCGTGATCTATTGACAGCAGGGCTCACAGTGTTTGATAATAAACCGGAGACTTATTTAGCCTGGAAATCTATGTTTCACAATGCCACTGAAGATTTGGATCTAAAATGTAGTGAAGAGCTTGACTTAATCATTAAATGGCTCAGTGGCGAATCCCTTCAGCATGCTCTCAGAGTTAGAGCTGTACACATTAACGACCCAGTCACTGGTCTTCAACGTTTATGGCAAAGGCTAGACAGAAATTATGGCTCGTCTGAAGTCATTGAAGCTTCTTTGTTTAAACGTTTGGAGAGTTTTCCTAGAGTGTCGCCCAAAGACAACCACCTCTTACAGGAGTTAGCTGATCTGCTTTTAGAAATCGAAGCAGCCAAAAACGAAGGTTATCTTCCTGGCCTCAGCTTTCTTGACACTTCAAGGGGAATAAACCCAATAGTAGAAAAGCTCCCACATAGCATGCAAGAGGCGTGGGTCAACCAAGGATCTAAGTATAAGAAAGAGCATGATGTTCACTATCCACCTTTCACCTTCTTAGTTCAGTTTGTTAATGGCTATGCTGAAATGAAAATGGATCCCAGCTTCTCTCTGCAAAACTGCTACAGTGCACCTATGAAAGTGGAACGGCCACCAGTAAGACAACCACGGTTCAGAGCCCCAGTGACAACAAACAAAACGCAGATTGGCGCATCCTATAATAAGTTACAGTCTCAGCCACTTGAACCAGATAAACAGTGCCCTGTTCACAAAAAGCCACATTCACTTGCCAAATGTAGAGGCTTTAGAATGAAAACACTAGATGAGAGGAAGAGTCTTCTGAAACAGCTTTCCATCTGCTTCAAGTGTCTTTCGTCTACTGATCACAGAGCCAAAGACTGTAAGGACGTCATTTGCTGTTCAGAATGCAACAGCGACATGCACATTACTGCTATGCATCCTGGTCCACCCCCGTGGACAGTTGCATACTCCGAAACATTAACAGAGGCACAAGGCGGGGAGCCAGAACCCCTAAGCCCCAAAGTGTCTACGTCCAATTGTACTGAAGTATGCGGGCAAGGACTGCAAGGAAAGTCTTGTTCAAAAATTTGCCTTGTCAGTGTATATCACAGGTCAGAACCGAATAAGAAAAAGAAAATGTATGCCATTTTAGATGACCAAAGTAATGTCTCACTGGCTCGGTCCCCCTTTTTTGATATGTTTGATCAGCATGGTGAAGTCCTTCCATATACACTGAAAACATGCTCTGGCACAGTAGACAAAATGGGGCGTAGAGCTCATGGCTTTGTCATTGAGAATATTAACGGGAAGGTGTCTATGCCACTGCCTAGTCTCACTGAATGCAATCAGATTCCAGACAACAGGAGCGAAATACCTACAGCAAAAGCAGCAGCTGTTCATCCTCATTTGTCTCATATAGCTGGAGAAATACCACCTCTAAATCCATCAGCAGATATTCTCCTCCTCCTGGGTCGAGATGTCATTCGAGCTCACAAGGTACGACGCCAAGTGAACGGCCCCCATGATGCACCTTACGCTCAGCAGCTCGATCTTGGGTGGGTCATTGTTGGAGATGTCTGTCTCTCAGGAGCTCATAGGCCTACAGTGAACTCTTACAAGACAAATATTCTAGATAATGGTCGCCCCAGTTTCCTCTCACCCTGTGAAAATAGATTTTACACTAAACTGAAGTTCACAACAGATAGCCCTCTTGTCCAAAGCACACAAGTCAAAGATGAGCTGGGAAAATGCATATTTAAACAAACAACAGAGGATGAAAAGATAGCACTGTCTGCAGATGATGAGGCTTTTGTGAACATTATGCGAAATGAGTTCGCTAAAAATGAATCTAATGACTGGGTAGCCCCACTTCCTTTCCGTTCTCCACGACCACGCTTACCCAACAACAGAGAGCAGACTCTCAATCGCCTCATGTCATTAAGAAAGACACTGAAAAGAAAACCTGAGATGGAGGACCACTATCTGGAGTTTATGGAAAGGCTCTTCAAAAAAGGACATGCAGAAAAGGCTCCTCCCATCAAACCCCACCAAGAATGTTGGTATCTTCCACACTTTGGCATTTACCATCCACAAAAGCCAGGTAAAATAAGAATTGTTTTTGACTCAAGTGCTGAGTGTGAAAATGTCTCTCTAAATCAGGTGTTGCTTAAAGGCCCTGATTTAAATAGCAGTCTTGTAGGTGTGCTTTTGCGCTTCAGGAGTGACCTATATGCTGTTATGGCTGATGTGGAGCAAATGTTTCACAACTTTAGAGTCAGGGAAGACCATCGCAACTACCTGCGCTTTCTGTGGTTCCATGACCACAACTTGGATGGACAAGTGGAAGAATTTCACATGACTGTTCATGTGTTTGGAAATTGCCCATCACCATCAGTTGCTATTTACGGACTCAAGAGAACTGCTGAAGAAGGAGAAGAGGAATATGGCAGTGATGTGAGGGAATTTATAGAGCGCCATTTTTATGTTGATGATGGGCTAAAATCATTCACCTCTGAGACTCAAGCTATTGACGTGCTACGTAGAACGCAAAAAATGCTGGCTCAGTCTAACATTCGCCTACACAAGATCTCATCGAATAGTCCTGTCGTTACCAGTGCTTTTCCACACGAAGATCTAGCCACAGGGCTGCAGGGACTCGATCTCGGACAACATCCACCACCCATGCAACACAGTCTGGGATTAGGTTGGGACCTGTCTACGGATCAGTTCTCATTTCAAGTTGAGATCAGTGACAAGCCTTTCACCAAACGAGGAGTGTTATCTGTTATCAATAGTTTATATGACCCCCTTGGGTTTGCTGTGCCAGTCAGCATTGAAGGTCGCTCCATTCTGAGAGAGATTTCTACTGACATCAGTGAATGGGATACCCCACTACCGAAGGAGAAACAAGAGAGGTGGCAAAAATGGAAAGACTCTCTAAAACACCTACAACATCTTAAGATTCCTCGAATGTACACATGCATTCCATTGTCCGTAGCACAAAGAAAGGAAGTGCATATTTTCTGTGACGCTTCCACTAAAGCTGTTGGGGCTGTGGCCTATCTGAAGCTCATCGACATAAATGGGAAGAGTGAAGTGGGTTTTCTTCTCGGCAAAGCTAGGCTTGCACCAAAGCCAGATATCACCATTCCTAGGCTGGAACTTTGTGCCGCTGTACTGGCCGTAGAAGTGGCAGAACTGATCCAGGGAGAGCTTGACACTATCATGCATGAGGTAAACTTTTACACAGATTCAAAAGTGGTGCTTGGCTATATCTTCAATGAGAAGAGACGCTTCTATGTGTATGTCCATAACCGTGTGGAACGCATTAAACGTTCAACCGAGACCCATCAATGGCATTATGTGTCCACACATCTTAACCCAGCTGATCATGCCACAAGAGCACTGCATGCTAAGCATCTACCCCTTTCTACATGGCTCAGTGGACCTGCATTCCTCGCCGACTCAGGGCAAAGTTCGACACAGGAAAAGCCCTTTGATCTTATTAGCCCCGAAACTGATGCTGAACTGCGCCCGGAGATTGTATCATGTGCTACCTCCTTGTCAGAACACAGGCTCGGAACTGCAAGATTTGAAAGATTCTCCAGTTGGACTTGTTTGAGAAAGGCTGTGGCTAGGTTGCAACACATTGCTAAGACTTTCAAAGAAAACTCAGAAGAAATATGTCACGGATGGCACAAGTGTAACAAGTACCTTACTGAAGAACAACTTCAGGTAGCAGGGGATACCATTATCTATGCAATTCAAAGAGAGGTGTTTGCAGATGAAATCAGGGGTATGGAAAAGGACAATCCCATGCACAAACAAAGCCCTTTCTACAAGTTAAGTCCCTTTATGGACAGTAACAAACTTCTCAGAGTCGGAGGTCGACTTACAAGGGCTCAATTGACAACAAATGAAAAGTATCCTGTAATTATTCCCAGCAAACACCACGTATCTCAGCTCATAATTAGACACTTTCATGCACAAGTACACCACCAGGGCAGACACTTCACTGAAGGTGCGATCAGAGCTGCAGGGTTTTGGATAGTTGGTGGGAAGAGAGCGGTTAGTGCTGTCATCTTTCGCTGTGTCACATGTCGAAGACTAAGAGGCAAACGGCAAGAGCAAGTTATGTCAGATCTGCCAGAAGACAGAATGAACACAGATCCTCCTTTCACATGTGTAGGACTAGATATCTTTGGCCCATGGACTGTCACAACTAGGAAAACGCGAGGAGGCCAAGCGGAGTCAAAAAGATGGGCAGTCATCTTTGTATGTATGAGCACTCGTGCCATACACATTGAAGTGATCGAATCTATGGACACTTCATCGTTCATCAATTCCCTGAGACGATTCTTTGCCCTACGTGGTGCTGCTAAGTTGCTCAGATCCGACTGTGGCACAAATTTTGTGAGTGCTTGCCGAGAACTCCAAATAAGTAAACTGGGGTGTCACAATAAAGAAATCAACAACTATCTGGAAGATAGTGGATGTCAGTGGCTGTTTAATCCACCACACGCTTCACATATGGCGGGATCTTGGGAGCGTATGATTGGAGTCAGTCGGCGAATTCTGGAGGCAATGCTGCTGCATCATGGAAATGCTAAGCTTACACACGAGGTGTTAGTGACGTTCATGGCTGAAGTCACTGCAATTGTCAATGCACGGCCCCTTACAGCAGTTTCCACTGATCCTGAGCATCCTGAGATCCTCACGCCTGCTATGTTGCTCACACAAAAGGTTGGAGTGCCTCCGGTTCCACCGGGTCAGTTTGACAATCATGACCTCTTTAGAGCACAATGGAGACGTGTTCAGTATCTTGCGAATGTATTCTGGGGACGGTGGAAGAGAGAATACCTCAGTGGATTACAACATCGTCGCAAGTGGATGACACCAAAACCAAATCTACAAGTCGGAGATGTCGTTCTTCTCAAGGAAGGACAGGAAAAAAGGAACGACTGGCCTCTTGGACTCATTACAAAAACTTTTACAAGCAAGGATGACATGGTCAGGAAAATTGAAGTCAAAGTCATTCGAAATGGGGAAAAGAGACTATACTTGAGGCCCATCAGTGAAGTTGTCCTTCTGGTCTCTAGGGACTGCACCTAAAAGCCTCACATATCCTTTGAAACAGTGGTCTATTTAAGTTGGTGTGACTTCTTACAGATGTCAGACGGGGAGTATTCTGCCCCTTAAATGTTTTCTTCTTCATTAAGAAAATTATAATTAAAAGGTTCTTAGTAATTTGCCCTGTAGATTGTGTTATTGAATTAGAAGGCAGTGGCTCTGTAATTGTTCTTTAGACGAACACTGCCATCTTGTGTTCACATTGTGGAAAGCAGCAAGTGACAGGAAATAGGAAGAACAGAGTAGCCATTTTGTAGAAGCTCTTGCAGTGGAAAGACCTACGTGCTGTGTCTCTGCTTACAACTTGGTATTCTGCCCTTGATAAGGCATGATCTGTAAGTTTAATGTATATTAGTTTGCTTAGGTATATATTAGAGCTTTGTTTAGCAATATTATGACCTTTTGTGTTACTGCATGTTATATTTGTTAATGAAGTAATTAGAGCTACCTGTCTTCCCATGCGCTAGCCTATAGCATGCTAGTATGTAGTTTAAAAGTCATATTCATGTATGTACAAGGAAACTGAATGTATATTCATGTCATTATTGTTTCTGTTACAGTTTTACAAAGAAAATAAGGAACAAATATTACAAGTGGTACATCAGTAAAGCTTCAAAGAATGCTACACTGTCTCACGAGTGCTTACTGAAGCCATTTATGTTTAGCTCGCTGCATAGGCTAAATAAGTACTTTTGGCTGAGGGCAGAAGAATATGTCTCTCGAGATATCAGTTCCTCTGCCAAGCGATTGCTGAACCTATTCTTAATGGCTTGCCTATTTAAATAAATGTTAAATACAACAAATACAATACGAGGAGGTGCCTGTTAGGTTGTAATAACTCTTCTTAAACCCCTTTCCTAATCTTTCAGAATGAAATGCCTACTGCATCCAATCAGCTTGCAGTAGAAAAAACAAGCCATGCCCACTGTTTGCTCATTAAAAATTCAGTTTCTTTAGGATCTGCATGACATTACAAAAAAAAAAAAAAAAACGGTCGTTGCTTCAGTTTCATGTGGACTTTAAAGTGAAAGTCATCATCAGTGAAAGTTGCTGCAGATTTTTTTTGTGTGTGGGATGACAGTACTAACTATGAAAATAATAGTAAGAGAGGCATGGTTAAGTATATTTTAGCCGTCAAACTCACATCATTCCAAAGCAGAAGAAAACTGAAAATTGTCAGATTTTAACTGAAGATTACCAAACAAATTGTTCGTTAAGAATAATAATAAGTCATTAATTTATTCATTCATTCATTTTCATCTGCTTTTCTGGGGCCAGGTTGCAGAGGCAGCAGTCTTGTATGCGTATGCTATGCGTGGCCTATGCGTGGACGCATAGCCCTTGCCGTGGCTGTCGGCATTGCTGATGAGCACCTCTCAAAAAACGTGACTACACATCGAAATGACTCGTAGCGCAAGCTCTGTGATTGGTCGGCTTGGTAGCGCTGACGAGTGTGGGCGGGACCGAGAGCTGGGCGAGCCTGATGGAGCAATTGTTTACAAGTGTGGATTCCCATGAAGGAGCTTCAGGTGGAAAGTTTTGTTTTGTGTTTACCTCATGGTTAAAGTTGTTGCACATCCGCCGGTTCCTGCCTCAAAATGAGCGAGTTTGAGCCACTTGTACATCAAGGAAGTGTTAAAAAAAAAAACACCAGCGAAGAAACTCGACACAGACGAACATAAACACCTCACTGCTAGCTAGCGTTTCAGAAGTGTTGTTGGAGAGCAACAGAAACAGTGCGCAGAAGTAGGAAAGCACAGCTACGTGGATTGCATGCGCCGTGGGTCACACCGATCACTTGACGCAGAAGTATAAACCAGGCTTAAGGAGAGAACCCCAGACTTTCCTCTCCCCAGACACTTCATACAGCTCCTCCGGGGGGTTCCCAAGGCATTCGCGGCCAACCGAGAGACATAGACCATCCAGCGTGTCCTGGGTATTCACTGAGGTCTACTCCAAGTGGGACATGCCTGGAACACCTCCCTAAGTAGGTGTCATGGAGGCCACCTCACCACCATCCTTCCGGGCAACAGAGCTCCTCACCATATCTAGAAAGGTGCACCCTGCTACCCTCAAAGGTAACTCATTTTGGCCGCTTGTATCCAAGAGCTTGTCTTTTTGGTCATGACCCAAAGCTTATGACCATAGGAGAGAGTTGGAACGTAGATTGAACAGTAAATCGAGTGCTTTGCCTTTCGGCTTAGCTCCTTCTTTATCACAACAGACCGGTATTACTGCTGTCACTGCAGCGATCCGCCTGAAAATCTCACGTTCCATCCTACCCTTACTCGTGAACAAAACTCCAGGATACTTGGACTCCTCAACCTGGGGTAAAGACTTTCCTCCAACCTGGAGATGGCAAACCACCTTTCTGCGGTGGAGCATCATGGCCTCGGACTTGGAGGTGCTGATTTTCAACCCAAACTGTCCCAGTGCACGCTGAAGGTCCATGTTCAATGAAGCCAAAAGAACAACAACGTCTGTGAATAACAAAGATGCAATCCTGCGGTCCCCGAACCGGACCCCCTCCAGCCCAAGGCTGCACCTTGAAATTCTGTCCATAAATATGTCAAAAATTTGACATAGGCATATTTTAAAATGTATGAAATAATTTATTAAATAATAATCGGTAAAAAACAAATACTTAATGGAAACTTTTATTACTAATATGAGTTGCTGTTATTACTTTAAAATTCAAATGCAATAAAACTATTTTATATAAAACAATGAAGACGTGTTTTGGTCATTTGTTACTTTAATGCAGTCACATTGCTAAATGTGGTTAAAGTATTTATTTTTTTCATTTTGTAGCTGTCAATGTTTTAAGAATGTACAACTTCTTTGAATGTAATATAATCAGATGTGATTTAATTGCGTGAAGCCATTTTTTATATGGAAGACATTGGAAGATAGCACTGCTATAAACCAGCCAGCTCTCCATCCAGATGTCTTACCAAGGAGGTAAATTAGATTTTTAGAGCATTATAGCAGCAAAAAATAAGTTCAAACTGGCTTAAACCAAACACGGAGGGTGAACAAGACGCTGTCTAGTGTCAACATGTGTTTGCACTCCAATTTAGAGGCTTGTGGGGTGAGATTTTGAGAAACAGAAACAGAAATGTCGATTTTGCCCGTTACAAGATTTAAGACAAGTCTTTTGTGTGTGTCTGTAAAGTTTCAGCTCAAATCACCCATTAGATTATTAATTATACCTTTCAGAATATTGGATTTTCTGCTCTGAACACAATGTAGCTGTTTTTGCTGCCTGTGCCTTTAATATTAGTTCTTCCCCCCGCCCATTGTCACACGTGCCTGTCAGAGTGAGCCTCAATCTTCAGCTGTGTCATATAAACAGCAAGGTGACAGACATGAAGGAAGCAGATCTCAAGTAATGTTTGTGAGAAATACTACACTAAAAACTTACCCAATGATTATTTGATGTATTTGTTGTGGAGTTAATTCAAGCCTTCTTGCATTGATAAGTCACACACATTGTCGTTACAAAGTTCAAGCACACAAACACACAGACACACACACACACACAGCGCGTTTAACTTTGCAACGTTTTTGCATGTAAATGTGACAGGATACACGTTAATATCCCCTGCTGTATGAATATCCGTTATGTTAATATACAAAATAAACCCGATTTAACATCCACAAACCACGATTGAAATGTCTTCTTTTTTAAATGTACTGACACACCTCTGCTATGATGTAGTAAAGACAGTGAAATTGCTTGCACTGTTTTAAAAACGTTTTAAACCTCATTCTTGATTACATTTGATGATGACTGATGATCACAGAGAGCTGAACAGATCTTTTAATCTGAGTTGCTTCACGCACGTCCTGTCTTGTTGATATTCTTATACGTTTTACAATGAAAACATGTAAATCAATCTGCTGTAGGGGAAACTGACACTCCTACAACACGTTGTGGTCATACTCAAAATGGGATTTAGATCCTTTTTTAATGTCAGGAAATTTAAAAAAGAGACTTGTTTTTATATCACTCCAATATGACTGTGGATAAACTATACCTGCACACAGTTCTGTCCAAACAGCTTACAAAAGATAGTTTTCATCAGAGTGGCCCTTTAAATTAAGGCTGGAAGGTTATGAATTTAGTATGCAAACAACAGTTTAAGTGTAGAGTCTTCTACATCAGTGGTTCCCAACCTGGGGTCCGCGCCCCCCTAAGGGGGCGCCAGAGTTCACAGGGGGGGCGCGGGAGAGGATAAGTTTTGAGGTAGAAAAAGGCATAAAAATGGTCCACTATTATAAAGGGCTTTGCAATTAATCGAAAATCCGATTTAGATTTCGGTTTCAAACGATTATAAAAAGCATTAATCGAGATAAATGATTATTGCATCATATTTCGCCACAGTTGTACACGTGTTGCTCTTAAAAGCGCGAAAGAGCTTATGTGTGTGTGCAGCACGATCACGCAGTAAGAAGCATGCAACATTCACTCTCATTCGCACACTGAGACGAGCAGAGGAGCGCAGACATCTAAAGTCATCTTAACGTGAACGCTTTAATGGTCAAATGGGTGTCAAAACGCGGTGTTTAGTGATTATTAACATTAACCCTCATTTGTATAATGAACAAACGAGTTGAGGATCAAAAGACGTGAAAGAGAAACCATTAAAGATACAGCGCGCTATAATCCTGCCGCCTGTTTTTATCATTATTAAACAAACATAACGAGAAAACCCTCGCTGCTCTTGACTGAAGGAATGCTGTAGCTAAAGTGTTTTTCTTACAGTGAAGATGCTTAAAGCACAGTTTGTTTCATATTTTTATTCTATTGTATTCATTTCTCTTTCCTTTGCAGGGTGGAAAATAACTGTATGTATACAGTTGAAGTCAGAATTATTAGCCCTCTTGAATATTAGCAAACCTTTTCCTGCCCAATTTCTGTTTCATGGAAAGAAAATTTAATAACTTATTTCTGAACATAATAGTTTTGATATCTCATTTCTAATTACTGATTTCTTTTTGTCTTTGCTATAATGACAGCACACATAATATTTTACTAGATATTTTTTAAAATACAAGCATTCAGATTAAAGTGCAGTTCAAAGGCTTAATTAGAGTAATAAGGCAAGTCATTATAACGCTAGTTTATTCTGCAGACAATCAAAAATAAATATTGCTTAAGGGGGCTAATAATATTGACCTTAAATTGGTTTCAAAATATTTAAACCTGTCTTTATTCTAGCTAAAATAAAACAAATAGAAGAAAAAATATTATAGGAAATACTGTTAAAATTCCTTGCTCTGTTAAACATAATTTGGGAAATATTTATAAAAAAAAAAATCTCAGGAGTGCTAATAATTTTGACCTTAACTGGCAATGGTTTTGAATAATCGTGATTACAATTATGACCAAAATAATCGGGATTATGATTTTTCCCAAAATCGAGCAGCCCAAAAAAATAAAAAATAATCTAAACACATGATTAAAATTCCAACATAATAGTGAAAATAATTAAAATAAATAACTTTAAATAATTATTTAAATTTTGCTCACTCGCGCAATCTGCTTGTCAACGTATCGTAAAGGCAAAATCAAAACAAAAATGGCAGACAAACGTAAATGCAGTGATTCTTCAGAGGCGAAGAAAAAGATTAGACAGTATGACAAAGCCTACCTAAATTTTGGTTTTATTGAAGGCCAAGACAAGTTAAAACTGATTAATTAATATTTTCTATACATATTACTATATATTAATATTACACAAACACACACACACACACACACACATATATATATATATATATATATATATACACACACAGTACATATGTGTGTGCGTGCGTGCGTGTGTATTTATATGGTGGGGGGCTCCAATGTTTGTATATGTTTATTGGGGGGGCCCCAAAGAAAAAGGTTGGGAACCACTGCTCTACATCATCAGTGAGATAATCTATGAAGATCTTAAAGTGGTCGTGTGCATCTATGTTAAAGTCATAATCAAAAGTAACAGGAGATCATTTCTTCTTAGTGACGTACATCTGAATGTAAAAGATTATTGAAAAAAATATTACTTTATGACAGGATTTTGAAATATGGTTGTTCTGAAAAGCGGTGACAAGAGAACCAAACGAATACTGTAACCAGAGAATTTATTGATTTTAAATTGCATGGTTCAGTTATGACATGTGAATTAAAAAAATCATGGAGGGAAAAAAAATGAATTAATGAATCATTAACAATTAGATCTAAATTTCCATTTGTTGTTCACTTTAAAGAGTTAGTTCACTCAACAATCAAAATGCTGTTATCACTTACTTCCCTCATGTAATTCCAAAAACCTGTGACCTTAGTTCGTCTTCAAAACACAAATGAAATATTTTAGGTAAAATCTGAGAGCTCCCTCATCCTCCATAGACAGCAATGTTCAAGACTTGTTCAAAGTCCAGAAAAATACCAAATAATACTGTTTATTGTAAATCAAAATGGCCCTAGAACTACTGAAAAACACTTACCCCTATTGTCAATTCTGAAAAAAATATATTTTGATCCACTTCAAATGATGACTACTGTATATCCTGGATGCCCATGTGTGACCTCCTGAGTTTAAAGCAAAGCATGGGCTCATTCGAGGTCATACGTCGGCAGCGTTCTCATGAATGTGCACCCTATATTGACACTGAGATGAAGAAACTGTTGAAGGAAGTCACTTAAAATTGAATAACTTGAAAATAATATACAACTTCCCCATTTTCTAATCCATTTAGCTGATCTCCGGGTATGACAGGGACATTTTTAGCTTAGCTTAGCATAGTTTATTGAATCGGATTAGAGCATTAGCATCTTGCTCAAATAATAATAAAAGGTTTTGATGATTTTCTCATTTAAAGCATGACTCTTGTTGATGCTGTACCATGGCTGCAGTAGGTGCAATGAAATGACGCAGTGCATGGAAATAGTCCCCAGCTAGGATGCTAGGTGAAGGCTCTGCATTATATCATTGTGCCTGCTGCAACCATCGTGAAGTGTCATTCACACAATAGCCCCTTTCACACATACAGACCTTTCCGGAAAATTACCGGCAATTTTCCGGAAAGGTTGTATGTGTGAACAGGCCCTTTTTGAAAATACCGGTAAATTCGTTCTGGCTATTTTCCGGAAAGAGAAGTTGTAACATTACCGGTAATTTGCCGGAATGCTGCGCTGTGTGAATGCAGAAGGAAGATTGCCGTAATAAGCGCGTCCACGTCTTGAACGGGCTGACGTGAGACACCTGCTTTAGCCAATCAGAACAGTCAGACGCATTCACGTGCGCGCGGTTCATGAGAATAAAAGCCTTTAAATATATTTTTTCCAGACACCTTTAGCTGCTAGACGTTAGTCAGATAATGTTTCTATGTTCCTTCTTAATGCTGTGTAAATAATTAACGATAAAATGTTTATGATAATCCGTTGTTTGTTTACCTTCAAGCATTGCGTGTGCCCGTGAGCGCCCATAGCGCCAGCACACACACATATCATGAACATCTCGACATGCGAAAGTGTTTCCCTATGTTTTCATTAGAGTTGTACTCAATACTGATCCATCCATGAAGAGTTTGTAATGTAGTCAAATGTTTACAAACACAAGCGCAGCCGTTTAGAGGTCATTTCTGGGTAATGATGTCAGAATTTACCGGCATTTTGCGATGGATGTGTGAATGCTCTTTTCCGGAAAAATTCCGTAACGTCCTCGCCTGTGTGAACAGCGTTTTTTTGAATATACCGGTAAAGTAGTTCCGGAAATTTTCCGGATATTTACCGGTATCACTGTGTGAAAGGGGCATATGAGCGACTCGCAGTGGCAAATCGACAAGCAAACGGTAATTTCAATAAACAGCGAGCGACTTCCGGCGACCTCCATCTACGCAAGCGACAGCGACTGTTGGTGACCAGGTGGGCGCCAACCAACTTTGAGCGACAAGTCAAAGTTGATGCCTCATTCAGAGGTGAGCTCAACTGGTGCTCTTATTGGCCTTCGCTCAAAGTTGCTCTTCATTTGCATAAAGTTGAAGGATTCTCAAATTTTGTCGCATCGCTCGACAAGCCCACCTGGTCGCCAACAGTCGCTCACGTAGACGGAGGCCGCTGGAAGTCGCTCGCTTTCCGTTAAAACGAACAGTTGCTTGTCATTTTGCCGCTGTGAGTCACTTGTAGTGAGAATGAAGCTTGAGAATCCTTAAATTTTATTTAAATGACGAGGGACTTTGAGTGACAGCCAATAAGAGCACCAGTAGAGCTCACATGATCTCCACTCAGCTCGATCAGAGGACGGTTGTATTCGTGCTGTATAGACCTACACAGACCTGCGTTTGCAGCAGGTCGCCACCCAGAGCAACAGACAGCTACAAAGTCGCTGCTAGTGTAAATGAGGCATAAGGCAACAAATTCCCTGGGTTATTGAACCAAAATGAAAATATAGTTCCTGGGCATATTGACCTAGAAAATAGCAACTTTTAATTTTTCATCAATCTTAGTACATGATGTAGCAACAGAACAGTCTATTAGTCAGTCAAGCACAATTATTCATCAAAACTCGTGATGCTAATAGACCAATCCAATGCAATCATATGTTTAGCTAAAAGTTCTTCTGCCAGAGCCAGAAATCAGCTGAATGGAATCAAAAATAAACTGTTTACTCTAGGGGAGTGAAGTGTTTCTTTAAGACAGTGTTTCTCAACCACGTTCCTGAGGGACCACCAGCACTGTATGTCTTGGATGTCTCCTTTGTCTGTCACACCCATTTCAGGTCTTTCAGTCTCTCGCTAATGCGCTGATGATCTGAATCAGGTGTGTTTGGTTAGGGAGACTCAGGCTGTTTCTCAATATACGTTCTTCTGCGATCTTTGCGTCCTCGTGTTCTCGACATCAACTACCAAAGTCCAGTTCCAAAACTCAAGAAAACGGAGGACACATGAAAGTTCCTGGATGCATTTTTGATATCAAGGATGCGTCGATGCAGACTTAAGAGCAAAATTCACTCGAGAAGTTCCAGGAATCAATATGGCTGAATAAAGGAGATGGGAATCGCAGCATTTTCTATAGAAAAGAAAAATTACCAATTATGCGTGTATGCGCAAGGAGAATGCTAAGAACTTCCGGTCGTCAGCTGATGCACAGAAACAGTCACATTTGGACAGCTTTGAAATGATAGTTTTAATCTATTTTACTTGCTTCTAGTGTCTTTTAACTAATACTGTTGTCGATCAGTGCCACCTGCTGGACTGATAATTAAAAAAATACGATCTAATGCAGGGGTGTCAAACTCAATTCCTGGAAGGCCGAAGCCCTGCACAGTTTAGTTCCAACCCTGCTCCAACACACTTACCTGTAGGTTTCAAACAAGCCTGAAGGACTCAATTAGTTTGATCAGGTGTGTTTAATTAGGGTTGGAACTAAACTATGCAGAGCTGCGGCCCTTTTGGAACTGAGTTTGACACCTGTGATCTAATGGGATGGAAAACAACTGCTGTGAGGCATTTTTCCCCTCGTTGTCACATTAAGGGTGCTTATTTCCTGAATTTCGTAATAAAAAATTTGTATTATTTGCATTGTGAAACGTATACGAGTATGGTTTTTATGCATAGTATACATTGTGAAAAGAGGGAAAACAATAAGTCATTGTATGAATGCTGTCATATTTAAATAAATTTCCGTTATAAATGCTTAAAGGTCATGTGACCATCAGGAAGAACGCAGCATCTCATGTCTAGCAGGACGCATTCTCTGTTGTCAAGCTCTTCTGAGTTCGTTCTTATAAGGGTAACTTGACAAGAACAGTCTCCACAAGAACACAGGTCTGTTCTCAGCGTTTTTGGATTTGAGAAAATGCACAGAGCTGGTAGTCCTCCAGGAACATGGCTGAGAAACACTGCTTTAAGACATGTTATGTTTGCGTTCTTTAGGTATTTTTCAGGACTTTGAACAGGAACCTTCTGTCTATGGAGGATGAGGTAGCTCTCTGATTTCACCTAAAACAGTGTTTCTCAAACATGTACTTGGGTGACCACCAGCTCATTTTCCATGTCTCCCTAACCAAACACACCTGATTCAGATCATCAGCTCATTAGCAGAGACTGAAAGACCTTCAATGGGTGTAACAAAGTAAACAAATAAAACATGCAGTGTTGGTGGTTTTACAGGAAGTGGTTGAGAAACACTGACCGACATCTTAATTTGAGTTCCAAAGAAAAACAAAGATCTCAGGGGTTTCCAATGACATGAGAGTGAGTAATTGATAACACAATTGTAATTTTTGTGTGAATTAACATTTTAAGTACTTATTTTAGAGGAATATATATATAACAGTCAAAATATGAAACAATGTACATGATACCAGCATAATCCTCAAGACTGTAATAAGGTTTAGAAGGTTTTTATTAGCTTTATAAGCTTCTAGATTTTTAACAAAGGTCAGAATGAGTGTTTAAACCTGTGCAAAATGTCCTTATGGGCGAAAAAAGCCAATTTTTACAACACAATGCTATAGTGGGAGTATTAATCGGTGATCAGTTTTCATTAAAGGTCTCAATAAACCGTAAATATACTGTATGAAATCTCACAAACAAGTAAGCTGCTTCATATTCCAACAACTGCCGCGCACGTTCTCAGTTTCGTCGCCGTGAAGTTGAACAACAGACAGCACCATGGATCTGGATATAATTTGACAAGAAATATGCAAAGGTTTAAAGTCTAAAAACAGAGCAAGATAAAGAACAATTTCCTAAATACTCTCTTATCATCTCGTGAGCCACAAAACATGTCTACATGGTACACCGTATGGATTTCAAAGTTGGCCTTGTATTTATAATACTGTAAACTCACATCATCACAGTTTGTGTTTCCACCATGTAAACGGACAAGAGTTTCGTCATATGAAATAATAAGGGAACCAATCTCCCCCCGCACACGGTGGGCCAAGCACGATCTTTTCGTCGACAGACCGCCGATTCAGAGCTGTCTGAGAAATGGATGAGTTTAGATACTGTACATTTAGAATAAACGATTCTACGTTCTAAACACAAAGTCAAAAAACAGCTGTCTGCACGATGATTTAAATGACAACGAACGATAATAATGCAAACTTGGGAGCGCTGAGTTTCCGTGGTGCACACACAGGGGTTATATCTGGTAGAAGTACAGAATATACAGCGGGTCTCGGCGTGATGGGTGACTCACATGAACATCAACACATCAATCTACAAGGTGCTCCACGAGGGTTTCTCGACGGCTACGTTTCTGCCGCTGTGTGTGTGGAGATGGACATTGTCTGAATGGGGGTTGGAAAGATCCCTTTTCCATGTACAGTTTGGAGTGTGGCTTTAGGAGCTCTTGGCCTCGTCCAGTGAGATGCGTGTATGTGTCAATCGCTTCCTCCTTCAGAGGGTCTCGTTGTGCCCGGAGGAGTGGTCTCTTCTGGGGGTTGAGGCGCGGGATGAGCCCTTGTCTGTGCTCTCGGAGCTGGAGCTCAGGTGCTGCTGTTCAGAGCCAGCGCTGGAGGTGACCGTAGAGGACGAGGTGGAGGACGAGCGGGTCTTCTCCTTAAAGTCTGTGATGATGACAGTCACGTTGCCCACCGTTATAGCGAGCTGTTGAGCCGAGCTCCGGTCAACGTTCTTCAGTTTTGGTCTGGAATGTAAAAGAAACAAACAACTGAGCATTACCATTGAGTTCAACGTGCAAAGAATATTAAAGGTTCAGCTTGATTTAAACTGAAAATACAGGGATCGTTTACGAAAAGGGATGTTATGAGTCAATTCTGAGTCGAGTCAATTAAGAAATTAATTATTGGTCTTTAATTTCTTAAATGCTTCACATTTTTATGTAAAATATTCCAATTTTCTGAGATACTGAATTTAAGGTATTCAGTAGTTGTCATCAAAATCATCACAATTAAAGAAATAAACACTTGAAATGTATCAGTCTGTGTGGAATGAATGTATACATTATACAAGTTTCACTTCTTGAATGAAAGTCACCTGGATGGCACCTGTGTGTATATGTATACATATGTACACACAGTTCTACCGATTCTTGTATCTGATTGGATGATAGCCATGAGATAATAAAGTAATATCCGCTCTCGGACAACCTCTTCACTCTTGTGTATTACTCCGCCCACACCAGCGACATCGAGAAAGCTAAACAACTCTACACAGCCTAATAAATATTGCAGCTGTTGGACAACAATGTACTTTTGTTTTTTTTAAGTCAATGATGCAGTTGTTTAGACTGGTTGTAGTTGTTGGGACTGTCATAATGGCTATCAAACTGTCATGAGAACTCCTCTGACTGCTACCATTTCAAAAGTTACGCGAGTTTCTTTATTTCAGTCTACTGTAAAATGCTATTTGTTTAGGCTACATTTAAATGCCGTAATTTGGTCACAGTCTTCTGCTATTTACTTCAGAGGAAAGACGTGGTGCAGTGCAATCTGGGCTGCAGCCAATGCTTTTTAATGGGCTCACCTAACGATTCTACGTTCTAAACACGAAGTCAAAAAACAGCTGTCTGCACGATGATTTAATGACAACGAACGATAATAATGCAAACTTGGGAGCGCTGAGTTTCCGTGGTGCACAGACAGGGGCTATATCTGGTAGAAGTAAAGAATTTACATATGATGCAATCTCAGCTTGCATCATAAAGGATGCATCCAGATCCTATTGAATAGATTTGACTGCAATGTTAAGTTAAGCTTAATGCTGAATGACAACTAGGATGCTGTTCTTTTGACTGATTTACATGTCTTTATACAGTTTGTTAAATGTTATTAATGAAGAAATTAATTTCAAATAAATTGTGGTAATACTTCAAAAATATATTTTTGTAGTAACCCACAACGACTTGAGCAAAGAAATTGACATTACATTGTTCCGCCACAAGATGGTGACAGACCACAAAAAAGCCAGAGAAAATGTTTTTCTGAGCATGAATTTAAAAGGAAACTTGAACAAATCATTATAGAACTGGTAAATGAGTGTCTTTCTAAGTAAATATCTCTCATTTGTATGTTATAGCGCAATGCTATCTCACGGCAATTCGTAACATTTTGATTTAGTGGCTAATTCGAATAAATTTGTACGATCTAATTCGTGCAGTTTAGTACGATTAGCTCATCACCCAATCATTGTTGGGGTTAGGTGTGGGGCTGGGTTCCTAACCTCCTTTTTAAAATCATACAATTTCGTATAACAGAACTCATATGAATTCGTACAAATTAGCCACTGAACTGACAAAACGTAAAATACTTACGTTTCCTTGTGAGATCAGGCTGTATATTGTTGTATTTATACCATAGTCTGGTAAAGTTTCTGGCAGTGTTTGCTTTGCTTTGGCCTTTTTGGGGTTAATTATTGTGATATCCTGATTGCAACAGAGAAATACAGGAAGATATCTCTGTAGACTGATGGCCTTATAATCTTAAAATGTGAGCAAAATCACCTGTTTTGTCATCACTTTAGACATTACACTAGAGAATCACTCAAATACTAGCTCTAAAGTGACATTGGCGAAGTAGCAACGGTTTCTGCCGTTCTGACGTCAGCTCCAGGTATGAATGAACAGCAGAAGAAAGTAGTTCCTCATGCAAAAGGATTTTAGACACTCCGTGTTTGATTTTCGTTTTTATAAACACGATTATGCCATCAAACTGTTGTATAAATGCAATATCACACGAGTAGAAATGCGATATGGCTGTACATCATCACTGCCAATGCACACCTCCCACCGGTGCCAATATACAGCCATATCACACTGCTACTAATGTGTTATTGCATTTATAAAACAGTTCAATGGCATAACAGTGATACTGCTAATATCAGGGGTGTGACGAGACAATCCACAAGACGAGACACGAGATTGAGTTCACAAGAACGAGACAAGATTTTTATACTATTTTATTGAATCCTCAAATGATGAAATATATGAATGGAAAATTGTCTTTTATTCAAATAAAAAAAACACAAAATGCAAAACTATTTAGGTGCTTCTTCAAAATCAACTTGTAAAAGTTATTTAACTTGTATTTTATTGATTTCTATGCTGTAAAGGGAAAGCAAACACTGCAAAATATTTGCTAATATATGAATGGAATTTTTTTTATTAAATAGATTTTTTTTTTTGCTAAATAATAAAACTAAATTTCTATTTTATTTACAATACAAAATAAATAAATAAATAAAATAAGTAGCTTAAATTATAATAAAAAAAAAAAGAATAAAAAATAAGACCTTGCTCTTTAATTAGCCAAGACCTCCTCCTGTCCTCTGCAGGATTCAATAAAAGTATCTTTATGTTTCTAAGATGACAGAGAGATTAATCACTGCACTGACTTACATTTTTGGAATGAACAAAACCTATTAAATATAAACCAAATTATCAACGTTTTTAAAAATGTGCAAAGTAATTGTTGGTTGGCAGTGTTTGCTGTAACTACATCATTCTGACAGCAAAAACAAGCTTTCCAAAATCCACTGGCAGCAGTTCCAATGTCTGTTGCAGAAGTTTTGGCAACTTGTCATTAATTTACTCTGCAACCAAATGTGTCTCTTAATAAAAGAATAAAGAGAGTATTATTTAGCCGTCTTGTGATCATGCATACTGCAGAAACTGGTGTGTGGTTTTTGTCAAATTAAATTTAATTTGAGTCTTTACCTTGTACAACAAAAAAAGCATAATTGAATGCATATTAGTCTGTGATATATTAGTTTTGTCAAATAAAACAGCCATTTGAGTCTTTACCTTGTAAAAAATATGCATCTTTAATATTTAAGTCTGTAATATTTACTTCTCATCTCATTAGGAATAAAACTCTAATTAAAATTAAGTGTATTTTTAAATGTTTCATTAAGCTCTGCAAACATGATAATCCAATTTTCCCATTTACAATGCAGGAGAGTTACAGACAGACTGCTCATTGGATTTCTCTTAAACTCAAATTATTTGCAAACAATATAAATTGAATGAAATTCGTTTTAGTAGGAATCAAGAAAGCTGACATATAAAACTAATAATATAAATTTGCCTAATATATATATTTTCTTTACATATTGTGTTGTACAATTATGTAAAAAAAATCTTTTAAAATATAATGCATGTACAAATATCTAAAAATGTAGCTAAATTTCATATTAATGGAAAAAAAAACCATAAGAATATGAACTTACCGTGATATAACAGATTTGTTATTCTTCGTAACAGATTTGCCAGGCTTCATGCCATTGCTTTCCCCAGCTGGACTTTTCTGAATGAGTTTGGGCCTGTAAATGTTGATAAAACATGTAATTAGTAACTGACTATTAGCATAAAAACTAATTGCTTTTAATAATTTACATGCAAATGTGAGCTGGTAAAAAAAAAAAAAGTGTTTCAAATAAAATTTGAATGTATTTGTTAAGCTGACAGTCTTATCAAAATCAACATTTTGAGGAACTTTTAAAGTGCACCTATTATGGATTTTCAAAAACACCTTTTATGCAATGTATAAAAGCTCTAAGTGGATGAGCTGTACAGTTGAGTTTTAAATATAAAACTACTCCATGTGTAAAGTTCTTGGCTGTGTCTGAAATCGCATACTTCCATAGTATGTTAAATACAGTATGCGAGCCGAGTAGTGTGTCGAATTCATAGTATGCGAAAAACAGCATGCAAAAACTACCCGGATGACTTCTTGTAAGATTGTGAAGTGCACATCCAATGTACACTATACTATCCCACTATGCCATGCAAGTACTTTCAAGAATGGGAATGAAGATACTAACACAGGTAGCTTACAAGACAAGATAATTACGAATGGCCGATGTAGTATGTCCTAATTACATTCATACTACTCATATTTTAAATTCAAACTCAAATGTAGTAACTACTCGAGTACAAGGCGATTCAGACACAATCCTTGACCCTCAAAATGAAACTCAGCCTCAAGAGTCAACTCAGAGTTGTTACTTTGAATCATTCATAATAACAATATAGCAGATTGTGGGGAATGGGATTGCATTATAACTTGACAATGTTTTACAAAAATACTACAGTAAACCCCCAGCCTTGTGCTGTGTTCCTGTCTAGGCTACACAATAAGATGTTGTTAAGTATTGCAATAACTATATTTATTTCAATATAACAATGTGATTTATTTAAAATCATGTAATGATCATACTAAACCAAACTGATCATACTAGTCTCAGGGTGTACCCACAATGTGTACAGTTGCCTTGAACCGGGCCGAAGCCACACAACAAGTGTACCGCGTCAAATCCCAAGTGAACTGCGCTCTGGCTCACCTCTTCCAACCGAGCCTGAACTGAACCGTGTGTGAGCCCGATTAGGAGCACTCGCACTTCTCAAATGGCACTGTTCGGATAGCATAGTGTGAGTACTAGGGTTGGGCGACGTCAACCAATTTGGCATCGTACTATGTCTAATGTGTAACATCGCGACGGACGATGGCATTGTCGTCATGTGAAAATCAGTGTGGGGGGGTTGGAGACGGTGTTTGACAGGGTGCATGCGCAACGTGTCTGAAGAGCGAGGAGGGATCCGGTGGTGAAGGGTGACAAGGGTGCGCAACTTATTTGAGGACCGGGAGGGAGACTTCCGGGAGACTTGTCTGAATATCACGTTTAACAACTAAAGTGAGACGCGATTCAGCCATACATCATTGATAAACTGGCCGACATGCACTTCTCACTGGAGCCAAAGAGCTTAGAATGACCAAGAGAGTTTAGAATCACTCAATAGAACCTGGATGTTTTAAGTACACCTAGTAAGACCTTGATTAGCTTGTTCAGGTATGTTTAATTAGGGTTGGAGCTAAAATCTGCAGGACACCGGCCCTACAGAAACAAGTTTGGTGACCACTGCTCTAGAGTGTCGCCTCTTAGGCCCCGTTTACAATAGTGCGTTTTAGTTTTAAAACGGCGTTTTGGAATGAAAACGATCCGCGTCCACACTCGTGTTTTACCCAGCGTTTCTGAACTGCTCTCCGTCCACACCAAAACGCTGAAAACGCACATCACGTGAACACACAGACACTCGGGCAAGCACTGCAGCCCATCTACCCAGATGAGAGCTGTGCTAGTCGGACTTCTCATCAAGCATCTCCCGCTGGATCTAATCTCACTATATTTATTAAACGGAATATTTCATTCATCTTGTTGTCTTTATCTAACGACATATTCCCTGACTTTGGTCATTGGAATCTATTACTTGTTCTCAGGTAACGTGTTTTGGCTGAGCGCAAAGATAAGTTAATGATTAATGTAAGCACGTAGCCTACATTCTGTATATTGACTGATCGCTTGCCTTTATTTCCTATAATGTATAAACTTATTGTATGTCTTACTTTTATAATGGCCATTATCGATTATTAAAACTGGTATTCAGCAAAAGAGAGGGTGTGTTTCGTATTTTCACTGAAATTGAAAGGAGACAGTTGTTATCGGCTCCGTTTTGTTATAAATATCCACACAGTGAAGATGACGCTCGTGCCGCACGACGCCTCAACATTTCTCCTGTCTAAGTTGCTAATATAAAAATGAAAATTGTTCCTTAAATCATGTTTACATTTTATTGTTGACAAAGTGAAACAACGTAGCCAGGGTGATGTGAATGAAGTTATAAAGTACACTGTTCCCTTTGAAGATTTACCCGTGTCCTCGGTATAGTCTGTTTTCAATATCAAACTGAGAAGAAGAGACTGCAGCCATGATCAAACTTGCGAAGTCTGAACTTACACGGAGAGAATGCAGGACTGAACTGTGTGTGTTAGGCTACTTAATATTCAGGAAAAGCCCCAATCAGAGAGGCGAATGTCTGCAGCCCCGCCTCCGTTTTCAGGTGTCTCCGGTTTCCATCATTCACACTGAGACGGAGCAGCAGCGTTTCAGAATGAAAATGGCCTCTCCAGCGTTTTCGAAACGCTTCGTTTTCGGCGCTCGAGAACTCCGGCATAGTGTGGACGGTTGGCGTAACCGTAGCAAAACTTATGCGTTTTCAAACTAAAACGCATTAGTGTAAACGGGGCCTTAGTGATTCTATGCTCTTTGCTGGAGCTCAGATGAGCGCATGACAGTGTGTGTGGCTGTGTGTGTGTGTGTGAGAGGTCAAGAGGTCAAGAGTTCAAGATGTGCGTTTTCAGCGGATGAAGGATTGTTCAGAAATGCTAGGTAAAACACAGTGTGGATGTGGGTCATTTTTGTTCTAAAATGCCATTTTAACACTAAGACGTATTAGTATAAACGGGGCCTAAGTGTATATTATTCGTGAGTGGGTTTGCAACGCAGAGCGGAGGATCGGCGATGCTGTCTCAGCATCGTGTTTTCCATTGACCATCGCGATGGATGATGGCATTGTCTATCGGCCCAACCCTAGTGACTGCGCCCTCACACCCAATTCATGGTGGGCCACAGCTCTACAGAGTTTAGCGCCAACTCACACCTGCTTAATAGTTCAGTCATGAACACCTTGATTAGTTGGATCAGGTGTGTTTGATTAGGGGTGGAGCAAAACTGCAGAGCTGCAGCCAGAAATCGAGTTTAAGACCTACATACTAAAATAAATTTCGTAACAGATAGTATTTTTATCCAATAAAATCTAATTCAGGCATTTACTTTAAAACAATATAAATAAGTGAACACCTCATTGGGTATTCAAATTTGTATTGGCCGTTGACATTTTATTGACACATACAATAAATAGATTTTATTGCACCTCTCAGCGATACATTCAATGTACTTTATTGTGCAGCCTTATTCCTGTCATTATACTGATGACTGCTACAGCAACCAAGAATGCGGGATTTGCCGGCTATTTATTAATAAAGGAAGGGTCAATACCAGATACTAGCTGTACTTGGTGATTTATCAGTACCATGTTCATTTGAACAGCTTTATTTTCATCCAAATCACAAATTGAGTGTGACTAAAATGGTTGTCTTCTTGATGTAGTAATCTATAGAATGCAAATTATGCATTGTGTTGAACATGCCGCATTTGCTCCACACACATGCATAAAAAAACTTCGATTTGACTGCATTGCCATTTAGCAGAGCTGGTGCAATCACGTAACTATGATCAGATGCTTTTTTAACCTTGGAATATTCTCATGTTTTTCTGTCTGAGAATGCGCGGACAACACATGTGGGTGGCATCAAGATGTTTGCAAACGGCGTACTCATAGCTCAGGTATATCAAACTTCTTTTTACCCCCAAGCAAAGCTAAAAAGAACTTTGTGGGCCCTTTAGACGAAACTACAACCATAAAAAAACAACACTCACTTCATCTTCTTAGGAGTGGGTTTTTTGCTGGGCGTCAGGCTTTTATGTCTCTCTTTGTGTTTCTCCATCATGGCTCTCTCGATCTTTCCTTTTTTGAGCTCTTCTCTCTCTGCGCCCATCCTCTCGGCCGGCTGCATCCCAGAGCCTGCCGTGTGCGGATGATCTTTTTCCATGTGCTCTCTGAGAGGCTGAAGTTTCTCCAGCATGGCTCTGTCTGTGTGCTCTCTGTCTATTCTGTTGTGTTGCTGCGGCGGATGCTGCTGTGGCTGTTGCTGCGAATGCTGCTGTGGCTGCTGCGGCTGCTGTGGATGCTGCTGTGGTTGTTGTTGTTGTTGGAGGAGGTCTGGGGTCAGTCCTGCTCTTTCAGGCCTCCTGTCTGAATCGAGTGCTTGCGGTTTGTCAAGAACGCGTTCCTGTCTCCGTTCTTTGAGTGAATGTCCGCGGTCCAGCTGACCTCCTTCTAGACCTAGTCTCTCAGGATGGTCAGAGTCAGGATGGAGGCTGCTGAGTCTGTCCGAGTCAGAGTTGTCCATGTCGAAGTGGTCGTCGTCAGGCAGGTCTCTGTCTGTTCGTTCTCTTCTTTCTTTCTTGGCTGGAGGTGGAGCGGCGTACTGTTGAGCGACCTGCTGTGCCACGAGTTGAGAGTTTATCCTAGGTTTTCTGAAAGAGACGAGGTTACCAGAAATCAAGTGCTTTGTCAACAATACCAATCTCCAAGTTAAACACAAGTATCTGCTGATTTGTCTCTGATGTCAAAATAGGATGCTAGATAATCTTAACATGCAGTGAGGGTTATAGGTATTGTAATTTTAAAAACATGTCATGTTTTTTCCTGGGAATAATAACTCTAAAAGAGCTGTTGACAATGAATTAAACCAGGGGCCTGTTCCATAAACCAAGCTAACAAAAAAAAGCCAGGCTTATTTTGGTAAGGCAGGTTTATTAATGGCAGATTCAGTTTCATAAATAAAATTTACGATAGTTCAAACTCAGTTACTGTGGCAACTTTTGCTGGGAAACTAGCCTGGTACGGGGCAGGTTAACTCTTAGGCTTAGGTTCAAGCTTTATCAACTTAAGTCTTAAGCTTTGAATTCAAAGTAATGTTAACATTTACCTGCCATGATCTGATGCCCCTTTAATTCACTTAACCTCTTAATAATGATTAAAACTTAAAAGTCACTTAATAGTATATATATATATATATATATACTAAACATCTTTAGGAATAGAACGATAAAGCATTTAAATTAAAATAAATTATTAAAAAAAACAAAAACAAATACAAACTCTAACATTTCAACAAAATTTAAAATTTTTTATGTTTTCTGTAGATTTTTTCTTGTTTATTAAAATTTTGTTTAATATTTTCCTCCAACATAATAATTTGGGTGCATATAAAGATTTTTTTTGGTACTGAAAATTCTAATGTATATGCACAAAGATAGTATTGTAAAGCATTTCCAGAACAAAATAAAAATCCATCAGATTTTTGCGTGTACGGTCTTTGTAGCCACTGTTTTAATCTTAATGTGCTTACAATTTTAAGTTACATTTTGTACGTTACAGCGAGCCTGCAATGCATTAAAACTTTTCCTTGCAAGCAACAACTGGCAGTAAGCGCATATCTCGCCATATATCGCTTTCTCTTTTTCTATCTTGCGCGGAAGCACAATGTCAATGTATTGTTTAAATTAATATCGTCTATCTAATATGATCTTTATTTTGTATTTTCTATTGGATTTAAGTAAGGTGATTGGCTGGACCATTCTACATCTTGATTCCTTTTTCTGAAGCCTTTTGAGAGTTTTCTTGGCTGTGTTTTGGATTATTGTCTTGCTGAAATGTCCACTCTGGTTTCATCTTCATCATCCTAATAAAGTAGACGACTGAAGCAGCTGATATTAATTTACACTGACAAAGGGCAGAGGATTGCTTAACAACTACTGGGAGGTTTAAATGCCTTTCTTCACCTCCTTTTCCTCATGAGTTTTTCGCAGTCATTTTATTTTATTTTAATACACAACTATCCCGATCACCAGCGATCTTGGAAAACATTCACACTTACATAGGACTATAAATCTGCTGGTAAATGGACTACAAGAACCAGTCATGCACCACACACACAACCGGCTCCTGATTCTGACTGATTGCATACACATATATACAGCTCACTTTGAGACACTCATGGCTGAGTCTTGTTATCTGTTTAGTGACATTACAATGCGTTTCCTTTGTCTTGCTTTACCGTGTTTTTGATCCTTGCCTTGTTTATTTGTTTATCCTGTTTGCTGCCTGCCTCTGACCATCTGCCTGCCTATTGACTACGATTCTGGACAGCCTGTATACATCTGTTTGCCCCTGTGTTGACCATTGCAGGCCTGACCTCGCTAACAAACCTGCATGTGGATCCGCACCTCTGTTGTCAGTGTCACTTCTCACGTAACATATAACATTATTTGTAAACTAATAAGTTTTATTTTATTTGGATATATGTTTTTTTTTGGTTGTTACCAACATCAGGTGAAATTTTTAAAATTAACAGCACCTTAAGAAATACGTTTCCTGAGAAAAATGCTCATGTTTTAAACACTTATTTCCCCCACTGTAACTACTTTTGAAATAGTAAAAATCCCATTTTTAAAAAGTCTCCATTGTACCATACATAATTACAACAAAACTTCAAATTCTAAAATCATCAACAATGTAATAACTAGGACTGTCGACATTAACTTAACACATGATAAATCTGAAATGGTTAATGTGCAAATGTTTCTTTAATGCAATAATCATTTAATAAGGTTTGATCCCAGTTTCTTGCCGACATTGCAGTCATAACATTGTCTGATTCATGGATCAAATCACAAAGTAATTGTCATTTGTCATAAAATAATTGCGATTATTAACAGCTTCTAGATGAAAGTTTGGATTAAATCAAAGTTTACCACTAGAAACGAACTGCCCTTGCACTGAAATACAACAAGTTTAAAGCACTAAATTTGGGTCAAACATATTTTTGCAGATGTTAGCATAATACCAGAGTGTTAACCATCCACGCACTTCAAAGCACACTGAACTGTAAGCTAGTCAACAAAAAGCAATGGCAAAAGCAAACTCTTTCCATCCCTTAATAGATCGTCATAGATTGTTAAGCACCCTAGCATCAACAGGAACTATTAATTCAAGAATACATTAACTGTATGACACTGAAAGCTAAAAATAAAGTAAGTCCATTTGCAGAAGGCACTTCTAATACATTTACTGTAGACCACTGGACATCAGTAACAAAATCTACATCGGTGTAAGAGCATTTATCATAAATCAATAAATTGAAAGACTAGTAAGTCAACAAACAATATTTCTTTGAACTTTATTGCTGCATATTTACAGTTAAATGCTATATTTTAAATGTGCGATTAATCTTGATTAATCAAAGACCATGACTGCGATTAACATGTTCATTTTTTTAATTGAGAGCACTAGTAATAACACACATAGATGTATAGAAAACATAGTGAATCAAACACATACTACTCATCAAGTAAAATTTAGTACTTTAAGACCATTATGAATGAGATTTTAGACTTTAGATTTTTTTTTAATGTGTCAAAACAAGAAAACTCTAGTCAAATATTTGTTTTTAATGACAAGTTTAACATTGTTAAAAGTACAGTTATTATGTAATAAACTACACGAATAATCAAAAAATATTTTTGTCTGCTTTTGGTCAACTCCTATTTAACCTAATGCGTTTCTGCTATAAAACCTGACGTTTCATGTCTATTTATAAATATTATGTCCACTCACACTTTTTTTCTGTAAATAGTTTTTGTGTAAATGGAAGATTATACAAAGGGATATATTGCTATTATTATCATGAGAAACTGTGTAATTAAGTTTTCTTTTACTGATTAGGGAATTGAATAAAAATAAATGCTGTAAAATGTCTAACAGCTGTTTTTAAATAACACTTCTTTGCAATAAAACAAAAAAAAACATAATTATATAAACTTAAACATATAGATTATTTACATTGTTAGTGATTAGATGGGTTTTTTATCTCAATTGAGTAACATTACTTCGACAACTTTTAAAATTAAGCCCCGTTTAAATTGATTTAAGACCTACAATACAATATTTCTGTGAATTTAAGACTTTTTAAGATCTAAAAAGATCTTTAACAACCAATAACAGTTTTAAAAACTAATAACAACCAACAAATAATTGGTTTTGAACTGAATCGACAGATTAATTTTTTTTCATAAGACTTCATTACATTTTAAAAATATTTAAGTAAAAAACTTTTAATATTTCACATTTCTGCTGTATTTTTGGTCAAATTAATGCACCTTTGTGGAGCATATGAAACTGTTAATTTTTTTAAAGGCACAAACAAAATGAAACCATGTATAAGCCATTAAGACTATCAATAGACAATAATTTATGAAAAGAGGAACAACTACTTCCCTTTGAAAAAAATGGCAACGGTATTATATTAACCTGTGCATATACTCTAACAATGGCTCAAAATTATTAGGCTTATATAACTGGACTATCAATTCCAGCCTGTCTCAATACCATTTCATACTGGCACAGCAGAAAGCAATGAGAGATTTTTACTGGGCAGCCAAGTTTCGTTCATAAGGGTGTGAATGAGGAAGGGTGAATTCTGGGGTTTAAAACAGAGTTCCTTTATTATCTGAAAAAAGGAGTGCATATAAGTGGAAAGAGAATGACAATAAATACTCATGCATCAGAGTTGATAACGCCCTGCTGACAGCTTATGTGATTGATTGGCGGCTCTCTATGAAGTTATAATAACATTACCTGTTCCAGATTTCACTTCATTCTGACAGCACATAATCACTCTTTTCAAATCTTATTAAAGAACGATAAAGTTGTGCTCATTTTTGCTAAATAAATAGAAATTAACAATCTCTTTGCAGCAACATCACAAAGCACTAACATAAATTCTTTATTATAACTGGTAAAGTTGCATTTTCAAGACTTTCCTTTTTTAGTTTGACAACTGAAAAGAATTGCTAAAAAATGCCTTCATTTTTTTCTATTTTTATTTTATTTTATTTTTATGATACTCGTAATATCTATAGATTATTTCTTGGATTCATAATCATTTGCCACATATGTGATATGCTAACATATGTATTCATATAACACCAATGAAATGATTGTGGTTACTGCAGTTTTAAGTTTTACTGAACTGTAAAACGTTGTCATACACACACACACACACACACACACACACACACACACACACACACACACACACACACACACACAGACACAGACACAGACACACACAGACACACACACACACAGACACACACACACACAGACACACACACACACACACACACAGACACACACACACACACACACACACACACACACACACACACACACACACACACACACACACACACACACACACACACACACACACACACACACACACACACACACACACACACACACACACACACACACACACACACACACACTTTTTTGTATTACTAATGGGTAGCAATTCACAATTATTTAAAAACTTGGTTAATCTGTAGAAAACCTCTTTGATTAACCAGATATGTACATTGTAACTGTAAAGTGCATGTCATTTCTGCAGTAATTCAATTTTGGTATT